GATATTTATTGTTATTATTTATGTGACTTTTTTTTTGGGACTGTAAGATTTGTACATGATATATTAGTTCTTTTTATTTCTGTACAGCAGTGCAAACACTTCCAATGTGTGTGTCCGCATGCTGAATGACTCTGTGTGTACGTGTGCATCACGGAGGACAAGCGTTGACATTATGATGGTGTGTACTGTGTTTTGAGTATATGATGTGTCCTCGCCCACATCTTCCTGCCCACTGCCAGTGGATTTTATTTATTTATTTATTTATTTTGCCCGTGCAACTAAATGAAAAGCGTTTGCATGTTTTGGGTGTGCAGATCTGAGACGCTAAGAGTGTGGGATATGCTTGCATGACTGTGTCTGTGTATGCAAACAGGATTGTTTCAGGGTGTGAATGCTGTGTGTATGAGTGTGTGTGTGTGTGTTGCAGAAAAAGTCGACTGGGGTGTTCGGTGTGAAATCTGTGTCATGTTCGATGTTTTTAAACCCTCGAACTCCCTGATATTTGCTATTGTATGTGTTGTAACCCCCAACTATTCTTGAGTGTCAGTCGGCTTGTTTATATCATTAAATAAAAGTGACTTTCTTTCAGAGATTTGGTGTTTCATTTTTTGTAAAAAGTTTATTCGTAAAAAAAAAAAAAAAATTAACAGAGTCCCCATAACAATAGATCTTATGTAAGATGCACCGTTCAAAAGTTTCAGCTCAGTTTTTTAATTTTTTTACTTATGATATTAATATATACAGTACACCTGACAGAAGTCTTGTCGCCTATTTCAAGAATTCACACATAGCTGATGATTATAGAGCGTGTTTGGCATGCTGTCCTGGGAAAAAGCCCTGAGCTCATGAGATCCTCGAGCTTGGGGCTCCCTCCAGGAGAGTTTGAGCTCAGGTAGGTCTCGAGAACTCCCCTGCTTGTTATGGCAAATAGAAATAAGGAATTACTGTGGACAGATGTACTACTGATTAAGTGCTCTTCTATGGTGTTGATTTGGTTTGGTCAATTTACTTACTTACATGCCGTGCCTGTGGGAGAAACCAGAGGAGCACAGGGGAAACCCACACAAGCACTGGCAGAACATGTAAACTCTACACAGAAATGTCTACCTGGCTAGGTAAAGACTTGACCTATAGTAACATTCCTGCTGTAAGGCAACAGTGCAAATCATACTGTTGCCCTGTCAAGGGAAAAGGGGGAGGAACAGGGGTGGAAGGAGGGATTGGTGGATCATGCATTAGCTAATGCGGGACCGGTTGTACTCAAAATGAGTTTATAAATAAGCTGCACTCAAGTATTAGGAACAAAAAATTATAATTTGACTTCTTGTTTATCATCAGGTATCAGAAGCCAAATAAAGCCTTTATGTCTGAATTTGCTGACCTACTGTCCATGGTTTCCCTCAAATATAAGAGAACTCTTGTCCTGGGGGATTTTAACATCCAGATAGACAAAAACTCTGCAATTTCAAACGACTTCCTTTCTTTACTAGAATGTTTTGACTTAAAACATCTGGTGGACTTCCCTACTCGCAATATAGGTCTTGGTAATGCATTCAACCCATTGCTAACTCCTGTAGATCTTGGGTTATCAGACCATTTGACTATTTATTTCAATCTGGATCTATCATTTATAAGCATACCTGTGGCACATTGTGTAAATTACGTAAATGGAAATCAGTTAATCACCAAGAAGTTTCTGCTCTCACTGAAAGTGCCATATTTGGTCTACCTTCATCTGACTCCCTTGATGACAGTCTCTGCTCTTCACTCTGCACTGGACACCTGTGCACCGTTGAAATCACATTCTGTATTTTATGTTCGCTCTGCACCATGGTATAATGATGAGCTAGGATGACAGCTTGCCGTAAATTAGAGCATAGATGCTCAATAATGTTCATGTTTGGAGACTGGGCTGGCCAATCCTGGAGCACCTTGACCTTCTTTGCCTTCAGGAACTTTGATAAGGAGGCTGAAGAATGAAAAAGAGTGCTATCCTGCTCTAGTATTTGCCCTCTCCTGTGGTTTGCAATGCAATGGGCAGCACAAATGTCTTAATACCTCAGGCTGTATATGTTGTCATCCACTCTGCAGATCTCTCACACTCCGCCATACTGAATGTAACCCCAAACTATGATCTTTCTTTCACCAAACTTGACTGATTTCTGTGAGAATCTTGGATTTATGCTGGTTCCAATAGGACTTCTGTAGTATTAGTGATGGTTTGATGCAGTTCAACCAGAAAAATCGACCTTCTGCCACTTTTCCAAATGATCAACTAGAAGTCAAGCTATTATTTGTTGCTCTTTCAACTGGGATTGATAACAAGACTTTTGTCAGGCAGTGTATATTTATGTATGAGTGTAAGGTCAATTACTTTAGAACAAAGTGTTTAATATATAATACTGAGTAATATTTCTTGAGAAAGTCAGCATAGTTTAATTTCTATTAAATCTTGTGACACTGAAAACTGGAGTAATGTGCACGTAAACAGGTTTTCAATCACAGGAATAGATGTCATTTTCAAATATAGACAGCAGAAAAAATGTATTATATTACGTAATTTTTCCACCATATAGCTTTACAGCTTGTTACTGTGTTTTAGTACTGTATTTTCCTTCATCAGCGTTTCAAAAAGGTGTGCTAATTTTGCAATGAACTGTCTAATTTCCACAATATTCATAATATTATTCCTTAATTCTCCTTTGCACTTCACAAAAAATGTCATATTTCATAACTTTTACAATGCTAGTAAGCTCAATTGTTAGTTTGAACACACACACACACACACACACACACACACACACAGACACACACACACACACACTCTCACACACACACACACACACACACACAGACACACACACACACACACACACTCACACACACACACACACACACACACAGACACACACACACACACACACACACACACACACACACACACACACACACACACACACACACACACACACACACACACACACACACACACACACACACACAAAGCACAATTATAATGGCATCAGATGAACAAACAGTAGTTCAAGCTTCATTCATGTTCCTCCACAACTGATACCTGATATGAGTGAGTGGAATAAGATGAGGCTATATTAGTCAACTGAAGGACACACTTCTTGGTGTCTACTTTCAATTTCATTCATTAATTTTCTTCGGCTTAGTCTCTATTTCAGGGGTCACCACAGGGGAATGAATGGCCAACTATTCCAGCTTATGTTTAATGCAGCTGATGCCCTTCCAGCCGCAACCCAGTACTGGGAAACACACACTCATATTCTATGGCCAATTTAGCTTACCCAATTTCAATATAGACTCATTCTGAAAGCGTACCCCATATACATTTCTGGAGATCGCGAGTAATGAAGCCAGAGGTACGTATGGCTCCATTTCATCTTTAAAACAAACGCTACCTTTTTGCGCTTACCAGTTGACCGCTTACCAGTTGAAACCGACAAAAGGGTTCGAGTCCCATGAAGAACGGTTTCAGAAAGCAGGTAAGACAAAGACAAAAGCTAACAATAAAAGTAAATACGTAAATAACAGGTTGAGACCGTGGTTAAATCTAAAAACATGGCAAAATCCGGAAGCTTTTCTTTTTTTGTATTGATTTTTTTAAAACACTATCGGTTGGGCTTAGGGAGGGGGGTGGTTGTAGGGTATTGGTTGGTCGGTCGGTCAATCAGTCAATCGACAGCGGCCTCTGGTAGATTTACTCGAGAAGAGCAGGCGCGAATGGCACTCGCAAGAGAAATTTGAGATCTGAAAAAGCGCACACAGCGTCCTCTGGCGGATCCATTAAAACAAAAACTGTGAAAAAAAAACATAGCTCTTGGGACATATTTGGCTCTCTCCAGAAATGTATATAGGGGTACGTTTTTAATAATAATAATGAGCCTGGGTTCGCCTAATTCACCTATAGCACGTCTTTGAACTATGGGGGGAAACTGGAGCAAACCCACATGAACACAGGGAGAAAATGCAAACTCCACACAGAAATGCCAACTAGCCCAGCCAGGATGCGAACCAGCAATCTATTATTATATAATAAATTAAAATTTGCAAATCATTTGTTTTATGAAACAATGGCTGTTTTCACTTGATTTCAAATGTGTGACTCTTCAGATTTTGTCCTTTCCGGGGTTGTTCAATTGCATTCAACCACAACTGTGTTCATAGAATGAAAACAATCTGATCAAATGAGTTTCAGATAAAATAGGCTTTAAATGTTAAAGTTGGTGAGGCAGAGTGGCTCAGTGGTTTGCACTGTCGCCCCACTGTCGCCCCACAGCAAGAAGATTGCTGGTTCAAGTCCCGGCAGAACCAGTTGGCATTTCTATGTGGAGTTCTCCCCTTGTTCATATGGGTTTCCTCCAGGTGCTATAAATTAACTGAATAAACTAAATTGACCATAGTGTCTGACTATGTGTGAGAGAATGAAAGTGTATGGGTGTTTCCCAGTACTGGGTTGCAGCATGAAGGGCTTCCGCTGCATAAAACATATGCTGGAATAGTTAATGGTTCATTTCGCTGTGTCAACCTCTGAAATAGAGACTAAAAGTTGATTTATACTTCTGCCCCAACCACACGCGTATGCTCCCGCGCAGCCTTCGCAGGTTCGCATAGACCTCGCCGTGGCTGACTACAACACTGATGCGCACCTCTCGAAAAATGTAACTAGGTAACTACATGTCCCAACGATGCGTAGCGCAAGCTCTGTGATTGGTCGGTTTGGTAGCAGTGACGAGTACGGGTGGGGCTGAGAGACGTGAGCCCCATGAAGCGAGTGTTTACAAATGTCGAGTCCCGTGAAGGAGCTCCAGATGGAAACTTTTGTTTTGTGTTTACCTTATGATTAAAGTTGTTGCAGTATGCCGATTCCCATCTCTGAATGAGCGAGTACTTTTACATTAAGGTAGCGTTCAGAAAAAAACAAAACACCCACGAAAAACTCGACACAGAGAACATGAAAACCCACAGCCTGCTAGATTTTTGGGAGTGTTATTGCAAAGCAAAACAAACAGCACGCAGAAGTATACATGCTACTATGCGCAAAGCAGCCACAGTGGGTCACACTGATCACTCAACGCAGAAGTAAAAATCAGTCGTAAGCCGAAGGAAAATGAATGAATGTTAACGTTGAAGAAACCTTCTTGAAAGCATTCTGTAGTGGTTGAATGCTGTTGTGTCTTTATCTGCCCTTCATGAAGGTGTCTATCAGCCTGTCGCTCTTATCAGACAGCCAGTATCCAGCCATTGCCGCCGCCGCTCCCATGAAGATAGAGGTGAACACCAGATCTCCTTTAGCCGCTAATGTGGCTAGCGCACACAACACAACCCCGAAAAACATCTGCTGCAGGACCATCAGCTCATCCTCCTGAATATCGTCAAACAGACCCTTTTCTGCAGACGCTGAGCAAACAGACAAACATTAAAAACATGCATTACAGTTGTATAATTCCAGTGCTGTGTTATCTACAGCTAAAGTCAGAATTATTAGCTCTCCTTTATTATTAGCTCTCCTGTATATTTTGTTCCCTAATTTCTGTTTAACAGAAGGAACATTTTTCAGCATATTTGTAAACATAATAGTTTTAATAATTCATTTCTAATAACTTATTTCTTTTATCTTTGCTATGATGACAGCACATAATATTTGACTAGATATGTTTAAGACACTTCTATACAGCTTAAAATGACATTTAAAGGCTTAATTAGGTTAATGAGGCAGATTATAGTAATTAGGCAAGTCATTGTATAACGATAGTTTGTTCTGGAAACAATCAAAAAATATTGCCTAAGGGGGCTAATAATATTGACCTTAAAATTTAAAAATTAAAAGTTGCTTTTAATTAATAAAGCATAAAGCAAACTAGACTTTCTTTAGAAGAAAAAAATAATATATGAAATACTTTGAAAATGTTCTTGCTCTGTTAAACATCACTTGGGAAATATTTCAAAAAGAAACCAAATTCATGGGATGGCGAATCATTTTGACTTCAACTGAATATTAAATAAAGGCCATTTCAAGAGTTCCCACTTAGCTGATGATTGACTATAAAACTTGTTTGGCATGCTGTCCCGGGAGAGAGCCCTGAGCTCATAAGATCCCTCTCGATTGCAAGGTGAGAGGAGAGTTTGAGCTCAGGTAGATCTCAAGAACTCCCATGCTGTACTAGCTAATGAACAGATAGTGATTGCTCTTAAGAGATAACGACTTACTAGGAGCATATTTATAGTGCCGATTTGGATTAGTCAATTAACTTAAGTTGTAAGTTTTTGGATGGTGAAAGGAAACCATCGGGACACCCAGGGGACACCCACTTGAGCACAAGGAGAATGTGTAAACTCCACACAAAAACGTCGACTGGCTTGGTAAGGACTAGAACCAGTGTCGTTCTTGCTGTAAGGCAACAGTGCTAACCACTGAGACACCATGCCACCCATATAGGAAAGGAGGAGTAGGGGTGGAAGGGGGGATTCTTCAAAACGAAGATGGCTGTGATATGGAACTTAGAGTATTTATAGTGGGTTAAGAATCATCTGATTGGTGAATCATAAATTGAATAATGCGGGAACAGCTGCAAGCAATCATAAGCATGTGATCCTCTCGAAATTAGTTTATAAATAAACATCACTTTGTTCTTTATACTGTACATGCATTTTTAAATACAAGAAAATAATAGGCCTATTCTATTTTTGTACATTTGAATTTATTTTATTTTATTTTTCTTTGTTTTTTTTGTTTTTTTGGAGAAACATGCACTGATGAAGTATCCAGAGGAAAGTGAATTAATGACCTTATTTTTTGTGTTAATAGCAGGTAATACGGGTTTAGCAACTTCTGAATACAAAAAGAGTAATTGTCCTCATATTATGTAAAAAGCCCAATATATTGAGTTACAAAATAATGGAATATAAGTCCTTTGGGACAGATCCTATTCAGAGTTTTCAGCACACAGCAGGCTTTTATTGTTAGCTGAAACGAACACTAACCACAACACCTTTGTTAGTATCGGGATGCAGCTTTTATGGTGTAAGCTGACATTGCATCTCTCAGTCTCTCAATGTAGCTAGTGATGTCACTGTGAGGGGTAGGGGTGGGGTTAGGTGAGCCCATTAAAAAGCATTGCATGCAGCTCAGATTGCACTGCACCAAGTCTGCATCCAGACCCCTCTTACTGCTGCTGTTGTTGGATGTTAATCTCTGCTCTGTCGACTTTTGATGTTGAAAATTGAACAGCTTAACAAAGTGACTTTTATTGACATTTTATTAGTTTGAAATAAAATAATGCCCAAGAAATAATATGTAGACAAATGAATCTGTAAAATAACAGGCAATGTGCCGGCAGTTTATTACAGCAGTTTTGTCGCGTAAAATACAACACCAACCCAGCAATATATCACTTTAAACTATTAAAAATGTCAATATGTCACTTTTTCAAACCTTTCAAGGTTAAAAGTTGTTGGATAAAAGATCAAAGTCCCATTATGCAATTTAAAAGCATAAATAATAAAAATTTAAAAAATTAAACGTGAATCACAAAATACAGAAAACTGCTAATTCACAGATGTTTTTTTTGTTTTTTTACAGTGTACAGTGTACTACTACTACTACTACTAATAATATATATATATATGCATGCTGGTTCGAACCCCAGCTGGGTCATGTCTGTGTGGTTTGCTTGTTCTCCCTGTGTTGGCGTGGGTTTCCTCCGGGTGCTCTGGTTTGCCCCACAGTCCAAAGTCATGCGCTATAGGTCAATGAAATAAGTTAAATTTAATAAGCAAAATTGTCCGTAGTGTATGTGTGTGAATGCAAAAGTGTATGGGTGTTTCCCAGTGCTGGGTTCAGGGCATCTGCTGCGTAATAACTGCTAATTGCTGAAATTAAACAAACAAATTAACCCTAACCCTAACATCACTAAATTTAATTTATTTATTTAAATTCAACATATAGTGTTTGCGACAATTTTGCAGAAATCATTTTTTTCAGTGTACAGTAGATCGTAAAACTGCAACTAATCAAGCAATAACACTTAAAATCCCAGGCCCAAAATAATAAAACACGCAAATTAATATGTTGTGGAAAAATATTAAATAAAATTAAAAACAAATAATGATTTAAAAAAATCAAAAGAAACAAAAGCAATACACAATACTTTTTTAACTAAATAAAAGCATTTTTTAAAAATGGGCTAAAGAACAAAGCACTGCTATACAATGGTTGCCTAATTACCCTAACTAGCCTAGTTGATCTAATTACATTGATGATAACGTCATCAAGATGGCGCCAAGCATGGCCGCCGTGTTGCGAGCTCCCAGCAAACTTTGTAGTGTTTTGTGTGTTTATCTTGTATTCAGGCCCGGATTGGCTAATCGGGAGGACCGGGAGAGTTCCCGGTGGGCCGGTCCGTTTTTTACCCATGAGAGCCGGCGTTTCTAGCTGCTTTCACTCTCAGCAGTCACACTTTTTTTTTAGAACTTCAAATGTTCAACAACCTTACAGTTTTACATGTCTTTACAATAAAAAAAAAACTGTAAGGTTGTTGAACATTTGAAGTTCTAAAGCAGCTGTTTTCTTGAAAAAGGAGTGATAGTGTAATTAGAAACTGAATTGGAAATGACCTTATTTTAATACATTCAGTCGTGACCTGAGGTGGGCCGGTCTAATGCTTGAAACTCCAGGGCTGGAAAGGAGTCCCACTCCAGCCCTGCTTGTATTTTTGTCATTTTTCATGCTGGATGTACACACTCTCATTATCTACGACAGCCAACAGCCTTTCTACATAAGCCAAAACAAACTGGTTGTGCTTTGGATTTTTAAAAGAAGGACGTTCAATTTTATATAAGACCAAAAATTATAAAAAAGTAATATAAAGTTATTTTAATTATTCCAACAAGATTGTTTTGTATTTATTTATTTTGATCAGAACTGAGACAGGCTACAAAAGGCATCATTGTGGAGAAGAAATAATATTTCTCAGCTTTTCTCTGCAGGTTTCACCAAGATAAATTTAACACTTTTTAGGACATGTTTTTTTAAGACATTATGAATGAAATTTTAGATTTGTGCAGGGCTAAATGATAAGGAATTTTTTGAATATCCCAGTTAGCAAAGATTTTCACTTGCCCTATCAAAAATGAATTGAATACATTTAATATTACTACAATAATAATTTAGAGTGAATATATATATATATATATATATATATATTTTTTTTTTTTTTTATTTTTTTTTTTTTTTTTTTGGAATTTCAAATATATTCATTGTTTCCCAGTGATGAGTTGCAGCTGGAAGGGCTTCTGCTGCGTAAAACATATGCTGGATAAGTTGGTGGTTCATTCCACTGTGGCGACCCCTTAATTAATAAAGGAACTAAGCCGAAAAGAAAATGAATGAATGAAAAATATATCCATTCACAAACCCTATAACCCTTACCAAGAATAGAACAAAACATAGCTGTCAATGCTTCAGTCTACAATAATAATAATTTAATAATAATAATAAATATATAGGCCAGGTCAGTATCCTCAGCAGTAAATAAATGGAGAACTTTAAAGCGAATATTACTGAAAGGAAAGTAATTAAATACTATTTTTAAATAATAATAATAATAATTTTTTCATTTATTTATTTATTTGACCATAGCCTCACCTTTTTTATTCATTATTTTGCCACAGCTCCGCTCTTCTTATTTATTATCCCACAGCCCCATGAGCAAAATGCAGCCTGCAGGGTAATGATAATCTAACTAACATTCCGGCCTCAGGTATATAACAGCGCCATTGTGGTCCAGTGGTCAGCACGTTGCGTTTCAATGTCGTCGATACGTGTTCGTTCCTCACTTGAGTGAATCTTTTTTTTTTTTTTTTTTATTGTTAAGACATGTACGGACAGATACACACTTCGGGAAATTGGCTCCCTCGTTGCACATTGAAGACCGGACTTTGAGTTCTTTAACGACGCTCTGTTTACAAACACAGCAACAGAGCCCTTTGTCTGGGTCACACAACCGAAGCGACGACGGAAACACAGCCAGGAAAAGAGGAAAGAGAGCCGGCGTCCATGTAAGAATAAGACACCGTAAATTTCGACGTGTGCTCCCCACCATTCTGCTGGCTAACATTCAGTCACTGGACAACAAACTTTGCGAGCTACGGGCGCGCATCTTAAGCTTTTCACTCATCATAGCACACGTGCTGCTGATAATGTGACAATAAAAGTGATTTTATTTAATTAACCTAGTTAAGCCTTTAACACCTGTTACAAGCTGAAAACTTTTCTTGAAAAAATATCTAGTCAAATATTATATACTGTCGTCATGGCAAAGATAAAATAAATAGAAATCAGTTATTATTATGTAGAAATGTGTTCAATATTATTAGTTATTAAAACGATGATGTTTAGAAATGTGTTGAAAAAAATCTCTCTGTTAAACAAAACACGGGGAAAAATATTTTAAAATTTAACATTCATCAGGAGAGCTAATAATTCAGACTTCAAATACATGTCATTGAACCTTCTGTGGGGTTCACCTGAGGTCTGTTGTCTCTCACAGTTCTGCTCTCTGCGAGTGAATCCCTCCGCACACTGACACTGGAAAGAGCCTTCAGTATTCACACAGAACACATTGAGTCCAGCGCAGGCTAAAACCTCCTCACCGCACTCATCTACATCTGCAGGACAAACACAACATCATGCAAAGTGAAGAAGCAGAACAGATCGACAGATTACACACAACAAACAAACAAACAGCTTTTCACTGCTATTGTGACGCATCAAGAGAAACTGCGTTTCCAAACCAGAAAAAATTGGGCTCTTGAGGCCATATGAATTTAAAATGAAAAGATAACAATGTGCATGAAATTCTATGAAGTATTAATTAAAATGCAGTGAAATAAATGACAATAATATAGCTAAATAAATCAAAAATAACAAACTAAATAATCAAATATATAATAATAATAAATTTTTTTTTAGCATTGCTACATTTTTATTAAATAGCAATTTTTTTTTTCATTACTTAATTCATTTTCCTTCAGCTTAGTCCCTTTATTCATCAGGGGTCACCACAGCGGAATGAACCGCCAACTTATCCGGCATATGTTTTACACAGCCAATGCCCACCCAGCCGCAGCCCAGTACTGGTAAGCACCCATAGACACATTCACACACATACACTATAGCTAATTAAGTTTATTCAATTCACCTATAGCGCATGTCGTTGGACTTGTGGAGGAAACCGGAGCTCCCGGAGAAAGCCCACGCCAACACGGGGAGAACATGCAAACTCCACACAGAAATGCCAACTGACCCAGCCGGGACTGAAACCAGCGACCTTTTTGCTGTAAGGCAACAAAGCTAACCACTGAACCACTGTGCCACCCAATATACATATCAATGTAATCTCTCTAACACCCTGCCTCTCTTTATTTCCTCGCTTCCCATTTACAATCCTATAACTCTCTCTTCACTTCTTGGTTGACTCTGGGGGTCCAAACAATCTACCAAAATATTACAGAGACGGTACCCCCACTGAGTCTCTGGGCATCATCGTAGGATGCCCAATCAACCTACCTACCTGTTCACTGTTTATCCTCTTACTTCCCTTCCCCTTCATCCCACTGTTCCCTTACCATCCCTTTCATTCCGACAATAAAGTCTAGCTCAAAGTGTGGTGTGGTCCACGCTGGTAAAACGGTGTTCAAAACTACTAGAGACTATTAAGCAGGGTGAAGCAGTTGCGCAGTAGGTAGTGCTGTCGCCTCACAGCAAGAAGGTCGCTGGTTCAAGCCTCGGCTGGGTCATTTGGTGTTTCTGTGTGGAGTTGGCATGTTCTCCCTGCATTCATGTGGGTTTCCTCCGGGTACTCCGGTTTCCCCTACAGTCCAAAGACATGCAGTACAGGTGAATAGGGTAAGCTAAATTGTCCATAGTGTATAAGTGTGAATGAGTGTGTATGGATGTTTCCCAGTGATGGGTTGCGGCTGAAAGGGGATCCGCTTTGTAAAAACGTGAAAGATGAGTTGGCGGTTCATTCCGCTGTGGCAACCCCGGATTAATAAAAGGTCTAAGCTAAAAAGAAAATGAATGAATGACTATTAAGCAGGTGTGAATTGGAGGGTTGGAGCTAAACTATGCAGAGCTGCAGACCTCCAGGAATTGAGTTTGAGACCACTGATCAAAAATAGTAGGTAGTGCTGTCCCCTTACAGCAAGAAAGTCACTGGTTCTAGCCTTGGCTGGGTCAGTTGGCATTTCTGTGTGGAGTTTGCATGTTCTCCCTATGTTCGCGTGGGTTTCCTCTGGGTGCTCCGGTTTCCCCCACAAGTCCAAAGACGTGGTACAGATGAATCAGGTAAGCTAAATTGTCTGTATTGAATGAGGGTGAATAAATGTTTCCCAGTGATGGGTTAAGGGTGGAAGTGCAATCGCAGCATTAAAAAAAATGTGCTGGATAAGTTGTCGGGTCATTCCACTGTGGCAACCCCAGATTAATAAAGGAAATAAGCCAAAAAGAAAATGAATAAATAAAAACATTCTTGCTATATGACACTCGGACACAAGGTGGTGCCATTTCATACAGAAGTCTCATTTGTGTCGTTACTGAAAAGATCCAGTCTTGGATCATTTTACAAACTTATGAAAAAAAAAAAAAGCAGCAGATAACCACACTGAAAAACAAGGACAGATTGTTGTTAGCTTTCTACATAAGCCAAAACAAACTGGTTGTGCTTTGGATTTTTAAAAGAAGGACGTTCAATTTTATATAAGACTAAACATTATAAAAAAGTAATATAAAGTCATTTTAATTATTCCAACAAGATTGTTTTTTATTTATTTATTTTGACCAGAAATGAGACAGGCTAAAAAAGGCATCATTGTGGAGAAGAAATAATATTTCTCAGCTTTTCTCTGCAGGTTTCACCAAGATAAATGTAACACTTTTTAGGACATGTTTTTTAAGACATTATGAATGAAATTTTAGATTTGTGCAGGGCTAAATGATAAGGAAGTTTTTGAATATCCCAGTTAGCAAAGATTTTCACTTGCCCTATCAAAAATGATTAAAATTGAATACATTTAATAATACTATAATAATAATTTAGTGTGAATATATATATATATATATATATATATATATATATATATATATATATATATATATATATATATATATTTTTTTTTTGAATTTTAAATATATTCATTGTTTCCCAGTAATGAGTTGCAGCTGGAAGGGCTTCTGCTGCGTAAAACATATGCTGGATAAGTTGGCGGTTCATTCCACTGTGGCGACCCCTTAATTAATAAAGGAACTAAGCCGAAAAGAAAATGAATGAATGAAAAATATATCCATTCACAAACCCTATAACCCTTACCAAGAATAGAACAAAACATAGCTGTCAATGCTTCAGTCTACAATAATAATAATTTAATAATAATAATAAATATATAGGCCAGGTCAGTATCCTCAGCAGTAAATAAATGGAGAACTTTAAAGCAAATATTACTGTAAGGAAAGAAATTAAATGCTATTTTTAAATAAAAAGTTAAAGGTTTAATTGAGATAGGGATTGCTGGGGGTTGTATGGGTGTTGATGGCCAGATTGGGTAGCTATCCATGAACAAAGGAAATTAAAACCTGTTATAAAATATTTAAGACCTACAACACAACATTTCAGTAGATTTAAGACATTTTAAGGACTAAATTTTAACTTTTGAGGTTTAAGACATTTTAAGACTATTTTGAGCCCCCTTGAAAACCCTGTTTATTTACATTTAAACACAAACTTTAAGTCAGAATTTTTCAAGCACATAAATTTGAATAATAAATACTTTTTGAAATATTAATATTTATTTATTTTACTTTTACATCAACAGCGGTGATGATTATCATGTTTTGTGTTTACAAAATTTGTTTTTGATCCGATTCTTTTCTTAACTGTCAAAAACACAATGCAAAGGTTTGTTTTCACATAAGCTGGAACACACACACCTGAACTTCCTCATTTCCATAGCCTGCAGAGTTTCACACTCCAGAGATGAATATCATACTTTCTCCAACCGAACCACAACACTACTGTTCATAAACATCTTTAACATGATTTATACAGTTAGATTATATCTGTATATCCACATCGTCCTCCACAAACAACATTATCACACATCTCTGAAGTCTAATGCAACAACTTTTACAAAACATTGCAGTATTCACTCAATTCATTGCAGTATTCACTCACTTAGTTCAAACTTTGTCATGCTTATTTTAATGATTGAAAGAAGTCTGCTAAAGGGATAGTTCAGCCAAAAATGAGAATGACTTCATTATTTACTTTCCCTCACATGGTTTTAAAGCTTTATAAGTTACTTTCTTCTGATGAACTCAAAATAAGATATTTTGAAGAATGCTGGTTGCCGGAACCCTTACATCCACTGTCATATGTAAGAAATACAACTGCTAAAAAGTAGATACAGGTATTTTATATACTCAGCATATTTCAGTATATCTGCCTTTGTGTTCAACAGAAAAAAGAATCACAACAGGTTTGGAACGAGTGAAGGATGAGTAAAGACTTTTAATGACAGACTTTCAATTTTTGGGTGAACTGTTCCTTAAAGCTCACAGAGGCAAATTTTTATGATCTGTATATTATTGTAGTTCATATTTTTTACACTAAAAAAATGCTAGATTTACTTAAAAATATAGTGCATCATTGTTGCGTCACTCTTTTTAAAGCAGTTTTCACACCCAATTTAAGCAACACCTCAAAAAAATCTCTTGTTGGTGATGGATACATTCTTGAGTATCCCAGCAAATGGTTTTGCTCAATTTTATTGTATACTGTATACTGTAATATATTTAGAGTTATATTCCTATAATTTCAATATATTGTAAGGCTTATTTTGTTTTATGTGAAAACTTGTTTAATCAAACCAACAACATTCCAATAACTAACAAAAAAAATTTGTATAAAAACTCAAATTTAACTAAATCGAAAGTATAAATATATAGTAAAAACCTGGGATTTTTTTTAAATACAAAAATATTTTGTTATTTCATGAATGCATGAATGAATGAATTAATTAATTAATGCGTTCATTTAATAACACAACATTACTGTGTTTAATAAATCTAATATATATGTTGCTGCATGGTAACGGATGGTAGGGTCAGGATCCATCCTGCCTTGTATTAACAGTTCAGGCTATTGGTGGTGTAATGGTGTGGGGGATATTTTCTTGGCACACTTTGGGTCCATTAATACCAATTGAGCATCGTGTCAACACCACATCCTACCTGAGTGTTGTTGCTGACCATGTCTATCCCTTTATGACCACAGTGTACCCATCCTCTGATGGCCACTTCTCAGCAGAATAACGTGCCAAGTCATAAAGTGCAAATCATCTTAGACTGATTTCTTGAACATGACAATGAGTTTACTGTACTCAAATGCCCCCCTCAGTCAACAGATCTCAATCCAATAGAGCACCTTTGGGATGTGGTGGAATGGGAGATTCGCATCATGGATGTGCAGCCGGCAAATCTGCAGCAACTGTGTAACGCTATCGTGTCAATATGGACCAAGATCTGAGGAATTTTCCTGTACCTTGTTGAATCTATCCCACGAAGGATTAAGGCAGTTCTGACGGCAAAGGAGGGTCCAACCTGGTACTAGTAAGATGTACCTAATAAAGTGGCCAGTGAATATATACAGTTGAAGTCAGAATAATTAGCCCACCTTTAAATTTATTTTTTTTTTTTTATATTTCCCAAATTACATTAAACAGAGCAAGGAAATTTTCATAGCATGTCTAATAATATTTTTTCTTCTGGAAAAAGTCTTATTTGTTTTATTACGGCTAGAATAAAAGCAGTTATTAACTTTTCAAGCACCATTTTAAGGACAAAACTATGAACCCTTTCCAGATGCACTCTATATCTCTATATCAGATGGCCAGAAAGTGATTCATTTTTCATAAATTGTTAAAATATTGATATCTGTGATGTCCCATGATCGTTCAGAAATCATTCGTATCTGCTGATTTGCTTGACATTGACTTCGCTATAACTCACCCATGCATCTCAGGCCTGAAGATCTGTAACCAGGAGCACATTTCTTACAGCGAGCGGCTCCTCCACCCATACAGCCAACACAAGCCTTATCACAGCCTGACAAATAATAAAGCATATCAGAAATAGATAAGCATTAGAAGGGTATTTGTACAGTGTGCTACTGTTAATGAAATAACAACACTGAGCACACAGTAAATTACACTGACCTTTGCATTCATAAGAGCCCCGTGTGTTGAAGCAGTATGTGTTGTGAGGACATTGATCCAGATCAGTCCCGCATTCGTCAATGTCTGTCAGGGGAAAGGAGTAAAAGTCAACTTCAGACTAAAATGGAGCATTCGGTGAACACTCGCTGTTCATTTACTCAGCCTCAGGACATTTAATAACTGTGAAGTTACATTTTAGCTGAAAGTGTGAGCCTTGTTGATTCATAAAATGTACTGTAAGATGATGGCAAATGCAGCAATATCATTCGCTTGCGGAAGTGTTGACAAAACCAAACTGTGCATGTTTTGGCCCCAGACAACATCCATAAATTGTTCAACCAAACACATTTTATTTCTTTAGCACATGCATGTACAGTTTGATCAAGTTGGGTGGCAATGTTTGTAAAGACATTACAATGATGTTTGCATATGTAGTACACCATTGCAGTATCATTCACAAACAAATATGAAATCTGATACACCGATAAACAAATCCCAAAATACATCCACCACAAATGCAAATACAGTCCAGAGTACAGTTCATTGTCTGTTGTGCTTGGCTTGTTGTTGTTGATCTGCTGCTGATTTGATCAGACTGTGTGTATGTGTGTGCGTGTTGTTATTATGAAATGTCTTATGCTTTGTATAAAGACATTTGACCCTTTTTAACCTTTAATGGTCAAACCCAGCGCGCATCTGCATGTCAAAACGACATAAAAAACATGTCAAAAATGCAGATCGATTTGGTGGAAATTGACAAATAGACATCAAACTGACATCTAACATTGGCATCAAAAACATCAAGGTAGTTTACATGCATTGTAGGAATACAAAATCCAGAGTAAATTTGGATTTGAAGATGAATAAATCAGATGAATTAAACTTTTCTTATATTATAATACTTTTGTGTTGTTATTTTGCCGGTCAAATGGGTGTCAATGAGTGGATGTCTAATGGATGTCACTAAGTTAAGATTTTAGATGAACTATATAGGGATAGTTCACCCAAAAATGAAGATTCACTCACTATTTAGGAGTTCCTTATTTTTGTAGAACACAAAAGATGATATTTCGAAAAATGTTAGAAACCTGTAACCATTGACTTGCATAGTACGAAAAAAAAAACGGAAGTCAATGGTTACAGGTTTTCAGCATTTTTCAAAATATCTTCTTTTGTGTTCGATAAAAAAAGACACTAAAGAAACTAAAACAGTCAAGCCAATGATGAGTAAAGATTAGTTTTGGGTGAACTGTCACTTTAAGTGTGCAGTGTGTTCATCTCACTCACCCACACACAGGCTGTCTATGTAAGTGTGTAAGTTTTTCTGTAGAACGCAAAGAATGTAACCATTGAGTTCTATAGTAGAACAAAAATACAATAGAAGTCAATGGTTACAGGTTTTCAGCATTTTTCAAAATATCTTCTTTTGTGTTTGACAGAAGAAAGAAACTTAAATTTGTGACAAGTAAATGATGAGAGAAAATGACAGAACTTTCAGTTTGGGGTAAACTGTCACTTTAAGTGTGCAGTGTGTTCATTTATCTCACCCACACAAAGGCTGTCTATGTAAGTATGTAAGTTTTTTTCTGTACACAAAAAATGATACTTTGAATTTTTTTTAAAACCTTTAACCATTTACTGTACATCCATAGTAGGGAGAAAAACCAATAGAAGTCAATGGTTACAGGTTTTCAGCATTTTTCAAAATATTTCCTTTCGTGTTCGACAGAAGAAAGAAACTTAAACAGGTTTGTGACAAGTAAATGATGACAGAATTTTCAGTTTTGGGTGAACTGTCCCTTTAAGTGTGCAGTGTGTTCATCCCACTCACCCACACACAGGCTCTCTATGTGAGTGTGTAAGTTTTTCTGTAGAACGCAAAGGATGTAACCATTGAGTTCTATAGTAGAACAAAAATACAATAGAAGTCAATGGTTACAGGTTTTCAGCATTTTTCAAAATATCTTCTTTTGTGTTTGACAGAAGAAAGAAACTTAAGTTTGTGACAAGTAAATGATGAGAGAAAATGACAGAACTTTCAGTTTGGGGTAAACTGTCACTTTAAGTGTGCAGTGTGTTCATCTATCTCACCCACACAAAGGCTGTCTGTGTAAGTATGTAAGTTTTTTTCTGTACACAAAAAATGATACTTTGAAAAAAAGTTTAAAACCTGTAACCATTTACTGTACATCCATAGTAGGGAGAAAATCCAATAGAAGTCAATGGTTACAGGTTTTCAGCATTTTTCAAAATATTTTCTTTTGTGTTCGACAGAATAAAGAAACTTAAACAGGTTTGTGACAAGTAAATGATGACAGAATTTTCAGTTTTGGGTGAACTGTCCCTTTAAGTGTGCAGTGTGTTCATCTCACTCACCCACACACAGGCTCTCTATGTGAGTGTGTAAGTTTTTCTGTAGAACGCAAAGGATGTAACCATTGAGTTCTATAGTAGAACAAAAATACAATAGAAGTCAATGGTTACAGGTTTTCAGTATTTTTCAAAATATCTTCTTTTGTGTTTGACAGAAGAAAGAAACTTAAGTTTGTGACAAGTAAATGATGAGAGAAAATGACAGAACTTTCAGTTTGGGGTAAACTGTCACTTTAAGTGTGCAGTGTGTTCATCTATCTCACCCACACAAAGGCTGTCTGTGTAAGTATGTAAGTTTTTTTCTGTACACAAAAAATGATACTTTGAAAAAAAGTTTAAAACCTGTAACCATTTACTGTACATCCATAGTAGGGAGAAAATCCAATAGAAGTCAATGGTTACAGGTTTTCAGCATTTTTCAAAATATTTCCTTTCGTGTTCGACAGAAGAAAGAAACTTAAACAGGTTTGTGACAAGTAAATGATGACAGAATTTTCAGTTTTGGGTGAACTGTCCCTTTAAGTGTGCAGTGTGTTCATCTCACTCACCCACACACAGGCTGTCAATGTGAGTATGTAAGTTTTTTCTTTACACAAATGATGATATTTTGAAAAATGTTAAAAACCTGTAACCACTGACTTCTATAGTAGGGAAAAATACAATAGAAATCAGTGGTTACGGGTTTTCAGCATTAATCTAAATATCTTCTTAAACAGGTTTGTGACAAGTAAATGATGACAGAATTTTCAGCTTTGGGTGAACTGTTCCTTTAAGAGTGCAGTGTGTTCATCTCACTCACCCACACACAGGTTGTCATGCAGGATGAATCCGGTTTGGCACTGAAGACACTGGTTGTTCTCTGGCCCTCCACATGCTTTGCAGTGATCTGAGCAGTTTTGACCCCAGGTTAGATGAGAAAGGGCCACACTGAGCGCAGCAGACAGGATGAACATCCGTGACATTGGTGACACTGGTTTGTTTTCTCCATGCACTAGTGAAATGCTCAGGCCACGGTTGAGTGCTCCAAAACCCTCGCTTTCCACAAAGTTTACTGTTAGAATGGCTGATAAGAAGAATCTTCTCACGACATCTGATGATTTTAAAAACAAGAATTCATTTGAAGGGGGACATATTATGTTATATTAACACAAATCAACATAGGAGCAATTATAATGAGTGATAATTATCTGAAGCAGTTAAATTAGTATGCATTCAATTATTACAATTTAGTGTTGATGTGTAAGATCTTTTTAAATGTATAAATCTCATTTCTTTTAATAAAAGATTTATCTTAGCTGTTTAAAACAACTTTATAAAATATTACATTTTACATTGTTATACACTCACTGGCCACTTTATTAGGTACACCTTACTAGTAACGGGTTTGATCCTCTTTTGCCTTCAGAACTGCCGTAATTCTTCATGGCGTAGATTCAACAAGGTGCTGGAAATATTCCTCAGAGATCTTGGTCCACAGTTGCTGCAGATTTGTCGGCTGCACATCCATGATGAGAATCTCCCGTTCCACCACATCCCAAAGATGTCTATTGGATTGAGATCTGGTGACTGTGGAGGCCATTTGAGTACAGTGAACTCATTGTTATGTTTGAGAAACCAGTCTGAGATAATTCGCGCTTTATGACATGGTACGTTATCCTGCTGGAAGATGGGTTCACTGTGGTCATCCTAAAGCGATGGACGGTCAGCAACATAACTCAAGTAGGCTGTGGCATTGACACGATGCTCAATTGGTACTAATGGGCAAAAAATTTGCCAAGAAATAGCCCCCACCCTATTACACCACTACCGCCAGCCTTAACCGTTGATTTAAAGCAGCATGGATCGATGCTTTCATGTTGTTGACGCCAAATTCTGACCCTACCATCCGAGTGTTGTAGCAGAAATCGAGACTCATCAGACCAGGCAACATTTTTCCAATCTTCTATTGTCCAATTTTAATGAGCCTGTGTGAATTGTAGCCTCAGTTTCCTGTTCTTAGCTGACTGGAGTGGCACCCGGTGTGGTCTTCTGCTGCTGTAGCCCATCCGCCTCAAGGTTGGACGTGTTGTGCTCTTCAGCATATCTCGGTCGTAACGAGTGGCTATTTGAGTTGCTGTTGCCTTTCTATCAGCTAGAACCAGTCTGGCAATTCTCCTCTGACCTCTGGCATCGACAAGGCATTTGTGCCCACACAACTGCCGCTCACTGGATATTTTTTCTTTTCAGACCATTCTCTGTAAACCCTAAAGATGGTTGTGTGTGAAAATCCCAGTAGATCAGCAGTTTCTGAAACACTCAGACCAGCCTGTCTGTCACCAACAACCATGCCACGTTCAAAGTCAAAGTCAGACATTTGTGTTAACAAGCAGTTGGATTTTTGTACCTAATAAAGTGGCCGGTGAGTGTTTATACCTGTTGATTGTGAGCTTTAGTTTAAATGTAACAGTTCTGTTTATTAATTCCAAACTAAATTTCTTAATAGTAAAGTATATTTGTCAAAGTACCTAAAGTAATAAAATTATCTTTAGTCTATATTTTTGTCTTTGTGTTATTACAATTCAGTGTTAAGTTGTAAGCTTTTTGTAATAAATCTCATTGCTTTGAATGAATGATTTGTCTCAATGGTTTAAAAACAGCTGTATATAATATTTAATTTCATATTAGTATATATTAACTGTGAGGTTTAGTTTAACTCTAATAGTTCTGTACAAGAGTTCTTAGGTATTTTTTTATGTCAAAATATCAAAGAAATTATCTTTAGTCTCTATTATTGTATATTACTATATAAATCATTTTGCTTTTAATGAATGATTTGTCTTAACACTTTGAAACAACTGTATAAAATATTAAATTATAAAGAGTTCAAATGCAAAAACCTCTAAGTGCCATCAGGAATTTTATTCTACAATGAGCATTTTTCTCAGCCTTCTATGTTTATGTTCAGTTATTTCATGTGTTAAATGATGAAAATAACCTTTTCTTTGCCATAAAAGTGAAAGAACTGAATCAAGATAAGAGCCTGAGAAGAATGCTAATATATTAAAAGAACATTTCAGATGACATTAAGAGGTTTTTGCATCTGAACTCTTCATATATTAACTATTAACTGTGAGTTTTAGTTTAGCTCTAATAGTTCTGTACAAGAGTTCTTAGGTATTTTTGTAATGTAATAATACCAAAGAAACTATCGTTAGCCTATATTATTGTACATTATTACATAAATCTTATTGATTTTAATGCATAACTTGTCTTAACTCTTTGAAACAACTGTTCAAAATTTTCAACTTTACAATATTATATAAAGAGTTCAGATTCAAAAACCTAGTGCCATCTAGAATTCTCTTCTACAATGAGCATTTTTCTCAGCCTCGTATGTTTATGTTCAGTTATTTCACGTTAAAATTATGAAAATAACCTGTTATTTGCCATAAAAGTGAAATTACTTAAGACACCTGAGAAATGCTAATATATTAGAAGAAAATTTCAGATGGCACTTAAAGGTTTTTGCATCTGAATTCTTCATATATTAACTATTAACTGTGAGGTTTAGTTTAACTCTAATAAGTTAGTTCTGTACAAGAGTTCTTAGGTATTTTTACGTCAAAATATTTAAGAAATATTTAGCCCTAACGTTTCTAAAGTAAACATTACTCATTCGGGTTACAGTGAATATAATGTTTTGTGACGTTTGTAGATGATTTGGTTATTGGTTTATTTTCGTAAAGATTAGGAGAGGGTTTATATCTTTAATCTAAAATAGTAAATATGTTTGTGTTTATAACATTATAGCCAGTTTAGTTCAACAAAACACGTAAAAGTTAGTTAATGGCTACAAAGTTTTGGAAGGTTCAGCATGCAGTTAGTACTTTAAATACTTACAAACAGGCGAAAGTGATGAGGTCAATAAAAACAGTTCGCGTTTCGCGCAAAAACACACCCAGCAGAGATTTCTCTGAGCGCCGTTTGACGGGAAATTACAGATCCTGCTATGGCGAAGGCGTGCGTCATGAATATTGAATATTCATTTCTCCACGTCCAATGGTAGGCTAACGCTCGTGAATATTAACGAGGTACTCGTGACGTACAGTGACAGTATTTTAAAGATAACTTGTAGCTCATAAATATTAAAATGCGTCTTCGCCATAGTAGTTTAGCCAAACTCGTTTTGTCGTGCTGGAGAAACAGGTATGAGTTTTAACCGTTTTAATATTTTCGTTACACATTTCTGTAGCCGAAAAACAAACAACCCAAAAAAATCTTCACAAGTTTAACTCTTAAAAATCCTCTGACAGCGAAAATACACATACCACATGACACACGTATGAACCAACGTTTTTATAGCTGTAACTTATTTAACATATAGTTTGTTAAAAATACACAGCAGTTAAATACAATATATTTATCACCATTGTACCTGATTAGTATAAGACAATTTTTCGCCCCCCGGGTCTTTTTCTGTATTGAGGTAAAGATTTTATATTCACACATTCGTTTAGCAGCTCTATACATTGTTTACTACATTAACTATTCTGACTGAACTTGCATGTAAGTATGACTTAGCACTATTCAATGTGCTGTACTTTGATAGTCATTGGCTGCTAATATGACCACTCTTTAGAATTTGCAGTGAATACTTTTCTGAAATTATATGATTAAGGAGAAAGTCTGAATGTGTGAATATCAAACCAACCTCAATTCTTAGTTTACTTCAGTCAGCTGAGGTCATACTGCGCTTCTCAGATAACAGAGCTTATTTATAGCAGTGGGTCTGGTGTACAGTATTTTTTTACCCTGCCCCCTTCTTAAACTTCTTTTTATAGACTGTAATTGTGACTAGTCTGATGGTTTGCTGGTCAGTGTCATAAGACAATTTCAAGAGCTCTAACCAGATGAGGTGGCAGTCAAAAGATTTCTACATTTGAACATCATTATAGATTTAAGGGGGTCAGTATTCCCGTATTGTTAAGATAAGCATAAACAATACCAGCACACAAAAGTGTCTTAGTTATGTTTAGATAGAAAGTTCACTTTGGCCAGCTATATTCTATATTTCACTGGTCACCCTATGACACAACACCATTGACATCATTAACATTGACATTGATAAGTGTAAATAAACTGTACATTTGCATACAACCACACTATTGCACATTATATATGTTTAGTTTAGAAAAATATACACCATTTCACAAAAGAATTTACGTTTAACTAAAGGAGAGCGAATGATTTACAACTATTAAATTAAAATGCAGACTTGCAAATGGTAAGTCAACCCTTTCCTAATAGTAATACATATGGAAATATAATGAGATGGCTATATACATATATTACTATTGCATGTGAACAGTATAACTATGTATATTGCTTGGACGGTGTTGGGTAAAGTTACTTTTAAAAGTAATTTATAATAGACGTGGCTCAGAAGCACTGTCTCCTCAAACCAAGAAGCGACCCCTAATAAATAAAGGGACTAAGCAGAATGAATATAATGTACAGTATACTATACTAATATATTACAAACTTTCATTACATTACAATTTAAAAATGCACAAATAACACAAAATCTAACCACAATAATAACCACAAAACACATACTTTCACACTGTTTCCCTTATTTAGACACATTTTTAAAGTTACTCGAGATTGTAACATATTACTTTTACAAGTAACTTTACCCAACAAAGGAATTCGAACCTAACACTGGAATTCGCATCTTGGAATTTGAAGTCTTTACCTCTTTAGTCTAAAGTTCCTCCTGCAGTGTCTGCACTTTTCAATTTCCGCATGTAAACATTTCCCATACAGACCTACTTCAGGTCGTGTACATACTAAGTAAGTCTTTGCTTGCATAACATCTAAGTGGCATTCCTATGGAGCCACTAAACCATACATAAAAAAAACCTGTAAATTGACATTTATGCCTAGTAAAGCACACCATCAACATTTTTTTAGATGTAGTATCTTTGTGGACATGAGTATTATTCATATAATGTAATAATAGTCCATACAAACAGCATGTCAGTGCAGTTCATGTCTGAGACAAACTCTCTCCTCTGTGTCTTCCATGTCGACACTAAGTGAATCAGTCTGGGTGTTCATGGATTCAGTTCTCACTCTTGTCATTTTCCAAAAGTTCTGCATTCCTGTAGCCAACTTTCTTTGTGCCCTTTTCATCCACCACATCTTCTTCAGCTTCTCGTTCACATTATTTGGTTTCTCCAAACAAAGTTCTGTTAATAATCCCTGAGCCTGTGAGGGCAGTTTATAGAGCGGCAGGCCTCTCAACAGTTTTGGCAAGTCATTCTCCTCATTGACGAGCAGTTCAGGAGAGTCTATCTGCACAAGAATGAACCGCTGCACGGCGCCGCCCTTCTGGCGGTCAGCAAAAATGCAGCCAAGAGCCGAAGCTAAAGTATCTGAGCAGTTTGCTTCCGGATTGTTTTGTCTTTCCACTGCAGCATCCCAGAACAAGTCAGCTCTCTGTAGTGTTGATTGAGAAAGAAGAAGTAGAGCTTTTCCTCCATGTTTCTTGATGTGATCGAGCTTAGAATGAAGCCACGCTGTCGGACCACATGAGCCCAGTTCTGCTGGATTCCATAAGTCAAGAAATACTCTAAAACCCAGCTCAGAAAGCAACTGGCCTATTTTACGCACCAGCTGTGAGTTGGTGGCAGGGGAATGGAGCAATAACACCTGTCCTCGTGTATCTACACACAGTCAAGAAAAGATCATGAGACAAATGTTGTAAAGTTTGTTGGGACAAAGCTGACTATAAAATGCCCTGTCTGGATGTTTGTAACAGCTTTGTACTTTCCCACATATAAAACTTATTATAGTGATTTACAGTAAATACTGTAAACAAGAGTTTTTCCAACCACACCATACTAACTTATAGTAAATTATATAATTTTTATTTGTTTCTACTTCAAATATCTAAAAGTCCAAATATCTAAAGAATCTTTATATTCTATTATTATAATTTTTAAATAATTATTATACTTTTATAATTATTATTTGTTTCTAGTCCAAATATTTAAAGTCCAAATATCTAAAAAAAATCTTTATATTTTATTATTATTAAAAATCTTTAGAATTATTATAATTAATTTTTATTTGTTTCTAGTCCAAATATCTAAAAAAAAATATTAATATTATGACTATCATTGAAAATCTTTATAATTTTTATTTGTTTCTAGTCCAAATATCTAAGTCCAAATATCTAAAAAAATCTGTATATTATATTATTACAAATCTTTATAAGTAATTATAATTTTATTTTTTTTATTCTAGTCTAAATATAAAAAAATCTTTATATTATATTATTATTAAAAATCTTTAGAATTATTATACTTTTATCATTTTTATTTGTTTATAGTCCAATTATTTAAAACTCCAAATATCTAAAAAAAAAAATCTTTATATTATATTATTAAAAATCTTTAGAATTATTATTCTTTTATAATTTTATTTGTTTTTAGTCCAAATATTTAAAACAAATAAAAATTATAAAAGTATAATAATTTTTTTTTAGATATTTGGACTAAAAAAAACTCTAAAAAAGAATTTTTGCAGTGTGCCCAATGCAGTACAAACCGTTGCACTATATTGCATATTATACACCACAGTTTACTGTAGTAAAACAAAATGTAAGTATACAATATTAAATAAAGCTTATCAGTACACTATAGTAAAACAGTATGCTATTGCATTCATTAATAAAGAGTTATAATATATACAATATAATATACTTTACTATAGTATTCTTTAAATATGCAATAGTACTTACTATAAATTACTATGGTATTTTCTCATGTGGGGTATGCTATATTCACACACAAAAAAAATTGTGCTACTTGTTTAAACTAATTATTTAAAATGAGCGGAATCAATACATTTCTTGAGGTGTTATTGGGAAAACTTGATTGTTTTATGTTTAATCCACTTAAATTTGCAAAAACAATTTAATTAACTTAATCAATTTGTGTTGGGACAACATAAAGAAATTGTGTGGAACCCTGCATTATTTAAGTAAAAATACATTTAGAAAATAAATGTGAGCTAAATTTTATTCAACACCTAGCTAACACGTTTGGACTGTTGCTATTTTGTGTTAAGTTTAAAACTTTCTAAAGAACATTTGCCATGGATTAACATGCTGTACCCTTTTGAAAATTAAATAATTATAAAAAGCTTTAAATATGATTTGAAATTGAGTCTGGAAAATTGAACTTTTGCTATGCTGAAATGCTTCTTGTGTACACATGATTGTAAACCTTGCGTACCTTGAGAGTAACATCTGTCCCATTCGCTCAGAGACCCTGTGAAAAGGATGTAGAAGAATAAAACATTTCATCAGACTCTCAAAATGCTTTCTATAATATGTCTAAAAAACCACTTTCATATATAATTTTCTATAATATGTGTAGTGAAAAGTCATGGAAAGTGTGTAAGATTCACAGACTTCACAAAATGGATGAAAGAACAGAAAATGGCAGAAGGAAAAGACAAAGAGCAGGCTTAGATGGGATAAATGCATTAAACACAGATCAGCACAAAAATATGTGCCACTGCCAAAAGCGCATCAATAGATCCATTGAGAGAAGAGGAGAAAGAAAAAAACTCAACAAAAAAGTCTCTTTTTAATGTTCTCTGGACACAGTGATATGTGTTTGGTCACTTGTAGTTTGAAACACAATAGTTAGCGGCTAGGATATGCTAAATCTACTTCTGTCATGAACACTCTCGGGATTTAGTATGGTAATGTATATGTAGATGGCAATGTTGATGTATTTGGTCTTGGCGGTATTTGATCTGCTATAATGCTGCTTCTGCTTTGATTGTTATGGCAGAGTAAGTACCGAGACCTGCTACTGCCAGCCTGTATATACACACACATGCCATCATGAGAATGTAACACACTGCTGCTGCAAACATAATATATATTCAACGCCCATAGCAGATCTAAACTCAAGTGGAGCTTGGGTGGAGGAGGATCTCCAAAAATGCGCTACAGCTTAACAGTGTAAAATGATGCAGATCTTTTAAACTGATGAGAAGCAAGCTCATTGGCTGCCAGGGTGAAAGCAACCGATCTCCTGCGCTATGTAGTTAATGACGGAGCAGATTAGTTAACCTTACAGCTTGCGCACGCAGTTTTTTACATTTTTTTTAAATTTATTGTAGTGATTTATAATATGTACTAAAGTAATGAGTTACATATAATCATTTATGTCTTTTTTAAACATGGATTTTTATGGATATTAACAAACTAACAAGTTTTTTTTTCTTAATTTTTTTTCTTCTTTCCTTTTCACAAGCCGGTTACTAAATTGTTATTTGGTCATAAGCATCTTAAGTTCTTGAAAGTTTTTAATATTTCAGATAAAAAAAACATATGAGCATTTATATGTATTTACATTTATATTTACATATTGTCTTTGCATTAAAGTACAAAAAATACAGATTGAGGTGTTTCTAATGCATTCACTGGTATGTTTTTTTTGTATTTTCTTGATAATACTACCAAGTTTTTCCTTTTATTATTTAAGCAAATATAATTGTAAAAATTATATTTTTGGTATTTTCCCATTTACTGCGTTCAAAGTTTACCCAACTATGCTGACTTCCGCTGCTGAGAAATATAAAAAGGGCCCATAACAATTCTCCATTTTTGCTTGTGTTATTTTGTTTTCAGAAAATGAGAACTGGCTAATTTGTCCATGGCATTTTCTTTTCTTACAGAGTTTACAAAATAAAGTTAAATTTAATAAAAACTAATGGTATTAAGTTGATTTTAGTTTAGCCATATATGCAGTTGAAGTCCCTCCTGAATATTTTACCCCCTCCCGCCTAATATTGCTTAAAGGGGCTAATAATATTATGTTTTTTTTTACTGCTTTTATTCTAGCTTAAATAAAACGAATAACACTTTCTCCATAAGAAAAAATGTTATAGGATATACCATGAAAATTTCTTGCTCTGTTAAACATAATTTAGGAAATATTTAAAAAAGAAAAAAATTACCAAGAGGGCTAATCATTTTACCTGTACATGCATATTTAGTAGTAGTGTGTGTGTAGTGTGTGATTTATGTAATTTATGAAGACACATTTGTGTAATGACATGGGTGTGACCTACTGTAGGTATTGCAATGCCGAAGTGGTTTATGAGGACACAGTCCTCATAATTTAAAACTGTAAAATTCTACTTTTTTCATACTCAAAATTTGCTACGGGTTGGGATTAGTGGTAGGGGGAAAATAAGGTCATATAATAAGCTTGGTGACGTTTTAAAATAATGGATCATTAGTTAATGCTAGTTAAGGTGACTGGTTCAAGCCCTGCTGGTTCGGTTTCCTTCAGGTGCTCCAGTTTCCCCCACAAGTCCAAAGACGTGTGCTGTAGGTGGATTGAATAAGCTAAATTGTCCGGAGTGTACGTGTGTATGCCCTGGTTCTTCAGATTGGGGGTTGAGCATTGGGCTAATGACCTACCTCGTAAAAAATTAGATGTTACGAAACACCAACATGGTTCGGTTAAATATCAACTTTAATATAAATGGCCCTGAGAGTAAGTAATTTAATGTACTTACTAATAATACCTAAGAACGAATAATTTAGTAAAGCATTTATTAATAATAGTTCAACATCAACTAATTAAACAACTAAAAACATTAAAATCCAAACTTGTCCTTGTTAATATTGGCTAATTTACAGTGAGTTAACATGAACTAACTTTCATTAACTTAAATAACATTACCTAACGTTAACAAAGATGAATAAGTGCTGTAATAAATGTATAACTAATTGTTTGTTTATGTTAGTAAATATATTAACTAATATATTACTGTTTTAAAGTGTTACCAGCAATGTTTACAGTTTAAATTACAGTATGCCTATGGAGAATCCTCATAAAGCACAAAAAACAACTTGTGTGTGTGATTTTAATTAATTGAATTTAGTTGAGAGTCACCTAATTTTTTTTCACCTGAGAGGCAAAACATCTTACAACTGTACATAAACAAATGAACAAAGACTTACATTTGATTTTGTTCACCAGCAGAAGTCCTCCAACAACAGTCAGACAAACACCGATCAGCGGCAGGAGGAGAAGAAGACTCCAGTACTGCCGCTCCACTAAAACAACAACCGTCATAACATTTAGAACAGCAAATGTTGATTTAAGTACATCAAACATACACGCATAACTGCGATCAAATGGCAATGATTAGTGGTGCTTCATCATCACACTTACAGGGATGTTGACAGTACTGCATAATCTCTTCATCCACTTTAAGCTGCAGACAAAAGACAGAGAATGAATCATGTTTACTGTGTTCATGTTCTGTCCGAAGGAAATCAAAACGAGAAATGTTATCTTACCATTATGCAGAGAGGCTGCTGATTTTCAGATGGGATGTTCACGAACGTCCCGGATGCCTGCCCAAGACAAATAACAGTAAAGCAAACTTTTTTTCTTATCGCTGGAAAAACAATTATTGATTTTGACCTCAGTCGGGGTAGAGGCGATATTACATTTCACCAAGATAAAAAGTGAAACTAAATTAAATAGAAGTACACTTGGGGGTGTGGAACAATGCCTAAGAAACAATTTTCAGAAATCTACAAGCAAATAGCAACACATTAAAATTAACATGAACTTTTGAAGAAGAAAAACTGATATAGTATGTCTTTTAATTCAGCAAAACATAATGATGATCAAAATAATTAAAGCAACATTAAAGTAAAAAAGACACACTAAAAACAAGATGTATAAATTATGCATTAATTAATAATGATACTTTTGTTTATATGAATCCAATAATCTCATAGTTTTGTTGAAGGACCTCCAGGTACAGTAAAATACGATGAAATAAAATAATAAACAATTAAATTAAATTAGGACGTCACGGTGGCGCAGTGGGTAGCAGGATCGCCTCACAGCAAAAAGGTTGCGTGTTCGAGTCCTGGTTGGGCCCGTTGGCATTTCTGTGTGGAGTTTGCATGTTCTCCCTGTGTTTGTGTGAGTTTCCTCCGAGTGTTCCGGTTTCCCCAGTCCAAAGTTCAAAGACTTGGTAGACATGTGGTACAGGTGAATTGGGTAAGCTAAATTGTCTGTAGTGTATGAGTTTGTATGGATGTTTCCTAGTGATAGGTTGCAGCTAGAAGGGCATCCGCAGCATAAAACAATTGCGTGAAAAGTTGGTGGTTTATTCCACTGTGGCGAGATTAATAAAGGGACTAAGCCGAAAAGAAAATGAATGAATCAATGGAAATAAAATAAAAATTTTAAATAAAATTATTAAATAAAAGAATGAAATAAAGTCATTAAATAAAATTATTAAATATAAAATATAAAGGCTCTAAGCCAAAAAGAAAATGAATGTATGAATGGATAAATTAAATTAAACTAATTAATAAAAATTTAATTTAATTTAACTTAATTTTATTTAATTTCTAGATTTCAATAAAAGATTTCAATATTCTTGCACATTTTTTTTTCACCCAATGATGAAATATATTTGTAATAATTATAGTACTATTTGCTTCATTTGCAACCTTGAAAAGAGAATCAAAGCTTTGAATGCTGTCAAATTTTTTGCTGTTTTCTATCCAGATTTCATTGACGGTGTCTCCTTAATTATCATCCCTACCTGTGTTTTTACTAAGTGTTTCACTGCAGTTTCTGCCAACAAATGGCAATGAGTACTGCTGTTGCTATAATTACAGCATCTCACCGTAAGGAACCTCAAAGCTAACCTTCACTAAAACCTCTGCTGTGTTCATACATATTGCTATAAACATCACAAAAAAACTAAAAATAAAAACTAAACTACTATTAAAGACTATTCTTATATTGGAGTGTATTTATTTGTACACTCCCCACCTTCTTTTTTTCTTTTTTTTTAAAGCTGTCACTCTTATTTATCTGTTATTATAATTTATATCTATTATTATTTTCTATCTATTACTTGTTTACATTTTTGTGATTGTAAACATTCTAAGTAAATGCTATTTGTATACTATGTTTATAAAAACACAGTTAAAAAAGACTATTATTTTAGATAATTGTGGAAAAATAAAACATTCTTAAAGTTTCTATAACTCATAAATCGCTAATAAAAAACATTATAATAATTAATAATAATAAAATTTTATAATCATAATAATTCCCTTATATCTTCATATATTAATTTTCCTTCAGCTAAGTCCCTTATTTATCAGAGGTCGCCACAGTGGAATAAACCGCCAACTATTCCAGCATATGTATTACACAGTGGATGCCCTTCCGGCTGCAATCCAGTACTGTGAAACACCCATACACTCTCACATGCACACACATAGACTACGGCCAAATTAGTTTATTCAATTCACCTATAGCGCATGTCAGAAATGCCAACTGGCCCAGTCGGGATTCAAACCAGTGACCTTCTTGCAATGAGGCGACTAACCACTGAGCCACCGTGCTGGTTTATGTCACCTTATTTTAAATCCAATAATATTTGCTTCATAGCTTCTCAGAGAGTCAAAGCTTTGCATGATGTAATATATTATTTACCCATAGTTTAGTGCTGTTTTCTGTCCAGGTGTTACAGCACTTCTGCCTGAATCCTTTAACTTCTTTGCATACTCCATCCGCCTGCAGGAGACACGGCCACAGCTCAGGGCTGATCCTGCAGGGCGATGTTAAATTCCAGCTCAGCATTGGCTCGTTGTCATTTGTTTTCATGTGGACAACAGACACTGATGTCTGTGACCAGACATTGGCCCTAAAATCTGTAGGAGAAACAAATAAATAAAGTAAATAAGTACAGAAATAAGAAGAGTAAAAATGCACATTCTAGTGCATTATCACTTTTGTGCAATATGACTTAAAATAAATAAAATTACCACTCACATGTGTACAAATTTCTCAGCATATACAGTTGAAGTCAAAACTTTCAGCACTTTTTTCTTTTTCAAATATTTCTAATCTTATGTACAGCACTTTGGTCAACCTTGGTTGTTTTTAAATGTGCTTTATAAATAAATATTGTATTGTATTGTTTATTTCGGCTAGAATAAAAGCAGTTTAAATATTAAATTTTTTTTTTTAAGTTTAAGGTTAATATTAGCCCCCTTAAGCAATAAACATTGTTTAATTGTCTACAGAACAAACCATCATTCTGTTCATTCATTCAATTTCTTTTCAGCTAAGTCATTTTATTAATCTGGGGTTGACACAGCGGCACAACCACCAACTTATACAGCATATATATTACACAGCGGATGCCCTTCTAGCTGCAACCCATCACTGGGAAACATTCATACATACGAATTCACAAACATACACTACGTAAAATTTTGCCTACCCAATTCACCTATACCACATGTCAAGGGAAATCAGAGCACCCGGAGTGAACCCACTTGAACACAGGGAGAACATGCAAACTCCACACAGAAACAACAATTGACCCAACCAGGGCTCTAGCCAGCGAGCATCTTGCTGTGAGGCGAACATGCGCCACCGTGCAGCCCCCGTTATATGACTAGCCTAATTACCCTAACTAGCCTAATTAACCTATTTAAGCCTTTAAATGGCACTTTAATAATAATAATAATAATAATAATTGCTTACATTTATATAGCGATTTTCTGGATACTCAAAGCGCTTTACACATTTTTTGGGGGAATCTCCTTATCCACCACCAGTGTGCAGCATCCACCTAGATGACACAATGGCATCTATAATGCGCACCACACAATACCTGATTGTTGTAGAGGAGACAGAGTGATGAAGCCAGTTATGATATGGGGATGGTAAAGAGGCCATGATGAACAGAGGCCAGTGGGCAAATTCGGCCAGGATGCCAGGGTTAAACCCCTAATTTTTTTTTCAAAGTGTTTTTAATGACCACAGAGAGTCAGGACCTTGGTTTAACATCTCATGCAAAAGATGGCGCTCTCTGAGCAATATAGAGTCCCCTTCACTATTGTGGGGCGTTAGGACCCACACAGAGGCAGGTTGAGTACCTCCTGCTGCTCTCACTAAGACCCCTTTTAGCTACAAACTAGCTTTCCCATGTGGTCTCCCATCCAGGTACTGACCAGGCACAGCCCTGCTTAGCTTCAGTGGGCGACCATGTGAGATTGCAGAGAGCTAGCTGTCGGCTAGACTTTAGGCTGAATACTAAAAATATTCTGTTAAATATTATGTACTGTCATCATGGCAAAGATAAAAGAAATCAGCTATTAGAAATGAGTTATTAAAAGTTAATATAATAATTCAGGGGTGCTAATAATTCAGACTTCAACTGTACATACAAATTAAACCCAGATATCCACATCAAAACATGGCATAATGATTAAATTATTTGAATTAATTTGGCCTGCAGTACTCAAAATCAGAAAACAGGAAAATGTATTATATACTCGATCAGGGGTGACGCGATGGCGCAGTACGATCGCCTCACAGCGAGAAGGTCGCCGGTTCGAGACACGGCTGGGACTTTTGTGAGGAGTTTGCATGTTCTCCTTGTGTTTGCATGGGTTTCCTTCAGGTGCTCTGGTTTCCAAAGTTGAAAGACATGTGGTATAGGTGAATTGGGTATGATAAAATTGACCGTAGTATATGTGTGTGTGAATTTGAGTGTATGGGTGTTTCCCAGTGATGGGTTGCAGCTGGAAGGGCATCCCCTGCATAAAACATATGCTTGATAAGTTGGCAGTTCATTCTGCTGTGGCGTCCCCAGATTAATAAAGGGACTAAGCCGAAAAGAATATAAATGAATGAACATACTATATCAGGCCAATGCTAAAAAACATTTCAAAAACTTAAAAAATCTTTAATTAAAAAAATGTTGACACCTCGCCAACACAGCAGAAGCCTGTCAACAAAGCATTTGTACTTAAATATCTCATCTGTTTATTGTGTCTCAGATTAAGGCTGTGTTTGCACTAGTGGAATGTAGTAGAATGAGAATGAATGCTCCTCACCCATACAGAAAAAAAAGAATATCTGTTTACAAGAGCTTTATCCAGCTGCAGGTCCGCAGACCCACACACTTTTAAGGCCACTCGGTCCAGAACCCTAGATCTAGGCTGTGGCAAACCATATAAATATTTTAATCAATATTTATTCATTCATTTATTTTCCTTCGGCTTAGTCCCTTATTTACAGGGGCGGACTGGCCATCTGGCAATTCTAGCAAATGCCAGAAGGGCCAGACCAATTTTTAAATGTGGGCCAGTCAGTTTTTATTTTATTTTTTAAATGTATTGTTTTTACGTGGAGACAGCTTTTATCTCTTGCTAGATGTGATATTATGATGATGATGATAATAATAATAATAAATCTTAAGCATTTGGACCAATCGGCGACGGCCAACTGATTTCAAGATGGGCCGACCCAATCCGAGGTTACCCGGACGTAATCAAAATCAAGAATGGCAAGAATGTCATATTATTTCACCATCTGTACATCAAAATAAATAGTGAATGTGCGTGTCCGTGGGGGGGGTTATGTTGGTGTGGTATTGTGGGCTGATGTGGCTACAGTGCCAGGGCTGAATTTTTGTCCCAGTCCGCCCCTGCTTATTTATCGGGGTGACCACAGCAGAATGAACCATTAACTATTTCTCCATATGTTTTACGCAGTGGAAGCCCTTCCAGCCGCAACCCAGTACTGGGAAACACCAATAAACTGTAACATGCACACACACTCATACACTAGAGCCGATTTAGTTTTATTTAATTCGCCTGTACCACATGTCTTTGGACTGTGGGGGAAACCAAGGCACCTGGAGGAAACCCACGCGAACACGGGGAGAACATGCAAACTCCACACAGAAATGCCAACTGTGACTCGATACGGCAATCTTCTTGCTGTGAGGCCACAGTGCTAACCTCTGAGCTACCATGCCGCCTATTTTGATCAATAAATCCTAACATTTTCAAACTGAAACAAATCTTAAACCACAGTAGTCTATAAGTCAGGCGTAACCTAACAAAACGTAAGAATTTTAAATGAAATGCACTACTGTTAAAAGAGGTGAATCTGAACGCTCTTGTCAACAAAATGAGGCTCTGAAATACCTGTTTTATTCCCTTCAAAGGGACAGATTTCAGAACGTTCGGAATCTTGCTTCCAAGCCTACAGCGTATAAGCAAACAGAAGGCAAATTAAAGTCATGAACAAACAAATAGTTTGGGCTTTGTTTTGCATCTGTATGTGTTTGAAAAGCACCTGAAAACAGATGCAGTCTGTGATTGATGCCAGTGGAATGCTGTTATTTGGCAGGGGCTGAAAGACAAAGTATAACATAAGTTACCAAGAACAGGTAGACGACAGAAAGAACAAACAGGTTTGTACATTGCATTCTCTGTAAGTATGCAGCGAGTCCTCTGGCTGTGAGTTATTTGGACAGAAAAAAATGTTGAGTTCACTGACCCAGCATTTCCCTTCTCTTCCGCGTTTCATGCACGTGTACAAGGGTTGAGAAGCTCCCTCATCTTTACTGATCAATATCATCTTATCCAGGCCCTTGTGTGTTTCAGTCTGAATTCTGAGACCTAAAATGAACAGACGTCAAGAAGACATGACACCTGAAGTGAAATTAGCTCAAACATTATGGTTTTAGTCCTACAAATAAGAAATTATTATGCCAAATTAATAATTAAATATTTCTTTAAAAACGTTCTTGAACCTCAAGTCAAAATTATATGATGAAGACTTGATGATCTAACAAAGCACCACATAGTGATTGAGCCATTTAGAGACATATATTTTTTATTCTAAATGTTTAAGTTATGTCTTGAACTGTATTTTAACCTGGGTTTAAATCATTATAAAGTATATAGACACATTGTAGGAAAATACATTTAATCCAAGCATACCTTTACACTGCTGTATGTCCTTGAGATCCCGTGAGGAACACACTACCAACAGAAAAATATATATTATAATAAAAACAGCACACACATTCTACATTGCTGCCTTTAGAGCAATGGTCTCAAACCCAGTTCCTGGAGGGCCACAGCCAGGCCCGAATTAAGAATTCAGAGGCCCCTGGGCACAATGTCTTGTAGGCTCCGCACCTCTATAGTTAAATTAAAAAATAAGATTAATATAATATTTTCATAATTAAATTAATCTATAATTTATTGTCTGCATTTTTTAAATAAATAATATGCAGTACATATATTTCTAGTCTACAAAGATTTACCTTATTTTTAAAGCATTTAAAGCTTAATTTGAAAAAAATATATACTAATACAACTAGTGAAATTAATGGATTTTAATATACTTGTTCATGTTCACTGAAGCAGTATTGAAAATGTATATTTAAGGGTATTTTTAATGTATAACTTCTACAAACTTATAATGCATATGATTTGGATATAACACCTCTCCAATCCAGTTCTGTGAATCTGAGTCTTCCATAATACCACTCTGTCCTAAATAGACACTCCAAAATCGGCATTTTCCCTTCTTCCAGGGGCCCCAAGTGCGTACGGGCCCCATGGTCTGTGCCCATAAAGCCCGTTGGTTAATCCGGCCCTGGCCATAGCTCTGCATAGTTTAGCTCCAACCACCAACAACTCACACCTGCTAAATAGTCTTTAGTAGTCTTGAACACCTTGATTTTTTTGGATCAGCTGTGTTTGATTAGGGTTGGAGTAAAACTGTGCAGATCTGCAGCCCTCCGGGAACTGAGTTTGAGATATGCTTTAGAGCATAGAGGACCACAGCACTGCAAACTTTAGTTCCAACCCTAATTTAATACACGCTTGATCAAACTATTTGAGTCAGGCGTGTTTTAAACATTCAGGTAAATGTTTTGAAGCAGAATTGGAACTAAACTGCAGGGCTGCAGGCCTCCAGGAACTCCAGGAGTTTTGACACCCCTGATTTACAGCAACTACTGCTTAATAAAACACTGGTTTGTGCAGATGCCTTTCCGATGTTATGACAGGCAGTCACTGCTTTGTAATCTCTTAATGCCTTAACAATGAATTTGCATGCATTTCCTTTTAAATGTGCCAAAAATCTTATAAAACATTACATAATTTAAATATCAAAACACATAAAGCATGTTTAAAATAAAAAATGACAAAAATAAATATAAAAATATATAAATTAACTATATAAATCTAAAATACTTCTTATTTTTCAGATGCAATGCAATAACACAAACATTGTGCAAAGCAAAAACAATTAATACAAATAAATTTGCATTTACAGATTTCACATTGTTTGAAATGTACTCCATTAAAGACTATTAAAGTCACAATGTGAAATATTTTTACATCCTGTAATTAATGTATTCTAATTCATTCATTCATTTTCCTTCGGCTTAGTCCCTTATTTATCAGGGGTAGCCACAGCGGGATGAACCACCAACTATTCTGGCATATGTTTTACGCAGTGGATGCCCTTCCAGCCGCAACCCAGTACTGGAAAACACCCATACACTCTCACATTCACAAACACAGTCATACACTACGGCCAATTTAGTTAATCCGATTCACTTATAGCGCATATCTTTGGACTGTGAGGGGAAATCAGGAAACCTACACAAACATGCAAACTCCACACAGAAATGCCAATTGACCCAGCTGGGACTCAAACCAGCAACCTTCTTGCTGTGAGGCGACAGTGCTAACCACTGAGCCACCGTGCCGCCCATGAATTATATTTGAATCTATTTTTAATAAACTGTGTTTTGATCAAAAAGTGAACATGGAGTAAGTGCCTTCTTGTTCAAACATTACAAAAATCTGTTATTTATTTAAATGTGTGACAAGTAGTCCATCAATGACTACCTGTTTTTAATGTAGGAACTTCAGCTTCCGTTTTCTTTGATCCAACCGAGATAGTCATTTTTCTGCCAAAGAGAACATCTTCATACTCCACCAGAGTCAGCTGCACGACAAAAAGATTAACACATCACAATCCAGTCACCAGTGTCACGCTAACGTTTTCTGAAATCAGGATCTTCAGGAAATTCTGCATTGCTTCACTCTTTACCTTTGCAAGCACATTACACTTGACAAATTGGGTGAAAAGTTTATTTAAATATTAAAAGAGCATTTAATTTAAAGCTTTAAATATTAAACTGTCAATACCACTTCAAAAGATTTATTTTTACCAAGAATTTTCAATACCTTTGATCATTACCCTGTCTATCTTTGTTTTGGGAGATTACTTTTTATCTGGTTTTTAATGTAGCTGGTTGCGAATTTCTGATTTGCAACCCTATTCTCTCTTGAATTGATTCTGAGCTTAGTTTTCAAGAGTTCACACTTAGATACTGTTGTTAGCAAGTTAGCAGGTTTGGCATGCTGTCCCAGGAGAGAACCCTGAGCTCGGAGATAGTTGAGCCCAGGGCTCCCGCCAGGTCCATAAATAATGTGAGGGGAGTACGAGGTCAGGTGTTCTCGAGAGCTCCCCTCGGCAAAAGAAAAAGGAGGAGAAGGGGTGGATGGGGGGTTTCTTCGGAAAACGAAGATAAGGGAGTAGTTCTTAGCTAGGTTACTTATAGTGAGTTTGGATCAATCCAATTGGCTAGCCAATGAGTGTAGATGAGTGGCCAGCTGCAGTCAATCATATCACGTGCTCCCCTCAAAATTAGTTTGTGAAACTTCATTTAATAGCAGATGGCACTTTAAGCCAGTGGTTGACAAAGTGGGGGTTGGGACCCCCAGAGGGTCGTTGAACAATGACGGGGGGTTGCTTGATGATTTCCAAAAATCAAATTCATTTTATTAAACTATTAGAATTAACATATTTTATCCATAACCTACAGAAGTAAAACAGTAGTTACATTAAAAAAACAACAACATGCAAATAAAAAGCCATCAGCCTCTCATTTGTTTGCAACCCCTGAGGTGATTACGCTATATTAAAGACACAGCACATTGATTTTAGGGCACCAGGTTAAACTTTCGGACACCTTTTACGGCACTCACGTACATTTAAAATAAATACAGGCCACAATTGAACATGGAGGATGGCCTCTGAGTGGCGTTCTTCAAAATTAAATAATGAATAGACTTGAGCCTAATAGTATGTGTGCGCCGGTGTATAAAGCTTTTATATTTATAACTATAACTGCTCTAGGCTATATTTTACCAGCAGATGGTGCTCTAGGCTATTTTTAACAGTAGATGGCGCTCTAGGGCTGTTTTAAACTGCAGATGCTGCTCTAGGCTGGTTTTAAACTGTAGATGATGCTCTAGGTTCGCATTAAACAGAAGATGGTGCTATATGTTAACTTTAAACAGCAGATGGGACTCTAGGCTAGTTGTAACATCCGATGGCATTCTAGGCTAGTTTTAAACAGCAGGTGGCACTCTAGGCTAGTTTTAACAGCAATTGGCGCTCTAGGACAGTTTTTAAAAGCAGATGGTAGTATAGGCTGGTTTTAACAGCAGATTGCGCTGTAGGCTACTTTTAAACAGCAGTTGGCACTCTAGGCTGGTTTTAACAGCAGATGGCACTCTAGGCTAGTTTTATCAGCAGGTGGCACTCTAGGACAGTTTTTAAAAGCAGATGGTACTGTAGGCTGGTTTTAAACAGCAGATGGCACTCTAGGCTAGTTTTAACAGCAGATTGCGCTGTAGGCTACTTTTAAACAGCAGATGGCACTCTAGGCTAGTTTTAACAGCAGATGGCAACTCTAGGCTACTTTTAAACAGCAGATGGCACTCTAGGCTAGTTTTAACAGCAGGTGGCACTCTAGGACAGTTTTTAAAAGCAGATGGTAGTATAGGCTGGTTTTAAACAGTAGATGGCACTCTAGGCTAGTTTTAACAGCAGATTGCGCTGTAGGCTACTTTTAAACAGCAGATGGCACTCTAGGCTAGTTTTAACAGCAGGTGGCACTCTAGGCTAGTTTTAACAGCAGGTGGCACTCTAGGACAGTTTTTAAAAGCAGATGGTACTCTAGGCTGGTTTTAAACAGTAGATGGCACTCTAGGCTAGTTTTAACAGCAGATTGCGCTGTAGGCTACTTTTAAACATCAGATGGCACTTTAGGCTAGTTTTAACAGCAGATCGCGGCTCTAGGCTACTTTTAAACAGCAGATGGCACGCTAGGCTAGGCAGATGGCAGATGGTGCTCTAGGATGGTTTTTAACAGCAGATGGTGCTCTAGGCTACTTTTAAACAGCAGATGGCACTCTAGGCTAGTTTTAACAGCAGGTGGCACTCTAGGACAGTTTTTAAAAGCAGATGGCACTCTAGGCTAGTTTTAACAGCAGATGGCACTCTAGGCTAGTTTTAAACAGTAAATGGCACTCTAGGCTAGTTTTAACAGCAGATCGCGGCTCTAGGCTACTTTTAAACAGCAGAAGGCACTCTAGGCTAGTTTTAACAGCAGATGGCGCCCTAGGATAGTTTTTTTAACATCAGATGGCACTGTAGGATAGTTTTTAACAGTAAATGGTGCTCTAGGTATAAAATATAAAGGTAAGACCTGATGCTGCAATATATTACAAGGGAAATAAAGTGATTTTAATCTAGAATGGAAATTGTTAGAGACCTCCACAACAAAAAAGTCATAATAAATATGCACAGAGGTGTTACTCACATCGAGAGGTTTGTGCCTTTCAGAAGAAACCACAGTGAAGTCTAATCTGTTGCACCGCATTTCATTGCTTTCAGCTGATTGGTAGCAAACTGCAATAGTAACTATATGAAGAGAAGACAGAGGTATTATTAAAGCATCACACAACAAACAATGGTGAATCCACTGCTGATTCAACAAATCATATACAGTTTATTAAATCTGCATGCTAACACTGAGCAATTCCATGCAAATGTCAACCTTGCCATACAATATATGTTCATCAAAACAATTTTTACAGTAATTTGTTTGTATTTTACAGTACAGTATAGTAAAACTACTGAAAATGTTTTCAAACATTTTTATTTTTATGTTACCAAAATCACAACTTCTAATTTTTATATACTCTCACCGGCCACTTTATTAGGTACATCTATCCAAATTTCTAATCAGCCGAACACATGGCATCAACTTAATGCATTTAGACGTGTAGACCGGGTCAAAATGAGCAGCTGCAGTTCAAACCGAGCATCAGAATGGGGAGGAAATGTGATTTAAGTGACTTTGAGCGTGGCACTAGATGGGCACTTGTAGGTACTAGATGGGCTGGTCTTAGTATTTCAGAAACTGCTGATCTACTGGGATTTTCACGCACAAACATCTCTAGGGTTTACAGAGAATGGTCCGAAAAAGAGAAAATATCCAGTGAGCGGCAGTTCTGTGGGCGCAAATGCCTTGTTGATGCCAGAGGTCAGAGAAGAATTGCCAGACTGGTCCGAGCTGATAGGAAGGAAACAATAACTCAATAACCACTTGTTACAACCAAGGTATGCAGAAGATCATCGGTGAACACACAACGCATCCAACCCTGAGGCAGATGGGCTACAGCAGCAGAAGATCACATCGGGAGACAGTCCTGTCAGCTAAGAACAGGAAATTTACACAGACTCACCAAAATTGGACAATAGAAGATTGAAAAACTTTTGCCTAGTCTGTTAAGTCTCGATTTCTGCTGCGACATTCGGATGGTAGGGTCAGAATTTGGCGTCAACAACATGAAAGAAAAGATCCATCCTGTCTTGTATCAACAGTTCAGGCTGGTGGTGGTGGTGTAATGGTGTGGGGGATATTTTCTTGGTACATTTTGGACTTATTAGTACCAATTGAGCATTGTGTCAACACCACAGTCAACCTGAGCATTGTTGCTGACCATGTCCATCGATTCGCATCATGGATGTGCAACAAATCTGAACTGCATAATTCTATCATGTCAATATGAACCAAAGTATCTGAGGAATATTTCCAGTACCTTGTTGAATCTATGCCACAAAGGATTAAGGCAGTCCTGAAGGCAAAAGTGTGTCCAACCCGGTACTAGTAAGGTGTACCTAATAAAGTGGCTGGTAAGTGTATATCACATACACAACGTGCTTTTCCTCATGAATGCAAAAATATAAAACAAAATAAATATTTTTTGTTCCACATTTGTTTCCTCATTCATTTTCTTGTTCATTTCAAATTCCTCCTGATTAGTATTATTTTTCTTGGGTCGTACAGTTTAATTCACAGAATTTCTAGAGTATTTTGTATAATGTAAACTCTTTTGGTCACATCCACAATGCATGTTTATTTCCCTCAATTAAACTATAAAACACATTTACAGATTGATATCTTTCCAACCCCTTTTCTATGTGGTTAGTTGTTGGATTTTTTTTATTTATTTATTTATTTTTTGCTCATTTCAAGAGGTCACACTCAGCTGATGATTGATTATAAAGCGAGTTTGGCATGTTGTCCCAGGAGAGAGCCCTGCGCTCATAAGAACCTCGAGCCCGGGGCTCCCTCCTGTTTGCAAGATGAGAGGGGAGTTTGAGCTCAGGTAGATCTCGAGAACTCCCCTGCTGTAGTAGCTAATGAACAGATAGTGATTGCTCTTAAGAGACTACTTGCTAGGAGCATGTCTATGATGCCGATTTGGATTAGTTAATTAACTTAAGTTGCATATTTTTTAACTCTGGGAGGAAATCGGGGAACCCGGGGGAAACCCACGTGAGAGAACATGTAAACTCCACACAGAAACATCAGCTGACTTGATAAGGACTAGAACCGGTGATGTTCTTGCTGTGAGGCAACAGTGCTAACCACTGTGCCACCCATCTAGGAAAGGAGAAGTAGGGGTGGAAGGGGGGATTCTTCAAAACAAAGATGGCTGTTATATGAAACTTAGGGTATTAATAGTGGCTTATAAGTCGTCTGATTGCTCAGTCATAAATTGGATTATGCGGGACCAGCCGCCAGCAATCATCAGCATGTGATCCTCTGGAAATTAGTTCATAAATAAACTTTAGTATTTTGGAAACAGATGTTTCAATATACAGTACAATAACATAGACATTCTCTGTCAATTTATGTTTCAAGTTTTACTGCAAATGTCACAACCATAATGCTGAAACAGCTTATAAACTAACAAAGAACTAAAGGATATTTCATTTTTTTTGTTTTACTGTAAGTGCAGTCGGCCTACCTTTATCATCTGTGTGTTCTTCACAATTAAAATTTTCTTTCTGTTTAAAAGAACAACACATATTAAAGATTAAAGGTGATTCCTCATTCAGATTTTCTATATTTACTATATATCAGTGGTCACCAAACTTGTTCCTGGAGGGCCGGTGTCCTGCACATTTTAGCTCCAACCCTAATCAAACACACCTGAACAAGCTAATCAAGGTCTTGCTAGGTATACTTGAAACATCCAGGCAGGTGTGTTTAGACAACTTGGAGCTTAACCCTGCAGGGACACCGGCCCTCCAGGACCGAGATTGGTGACCCCTGCTATATATGAATTAATAAATCACTTACCATTTGGCATAGTGTATGGTCATTTGATTCAGATACATATTCTGAATCCTCTCCTGCAATCACAAAGGTTAGGTTTATGTAAAACATATTCCTGTGAACCACAAACTCTAATTGGATGCTGCTATAAAGACATACCGCTGTTTTCTTCAGATCCTTCATATACTGATTCATCACTAACATCCTCAGTATCTTCAATGAAGCTCAACTGGATGTTGATCCAAAAACATGGTTTGCAATCCTGATTGTAACAGCACAGTTTGGGCTTGACGGTCACAGAATGACATACAGAGGCAGGGCAACAGGTTACATCAGAAGCGCTGAGAGGATCTGTGCGTTTCAATGTGCAGTTTAAAAGAGTCTGAAAACACAAACAACATCAAGGTTATGATCAAGGGTTGGTTGCATAAACTGTGTCTAGACTAGATTCACAAGACAGCTGATTTGTTTTTGTTTCTTAATTAAGAGGGAAGTGCGATAGATTTATGGGCAGGGCGAGACAGAATCTGCAAACTTTTTTTGCTATTTCTGTGCAGAATTTTGCACAAAATCTGCAGATTTAAGGGGAATGATTTTGAAAGTATAGTAACTTACAATTTTACCTATGAAATAAAAAAACATTTTATCTTTTGTTTAAGGTTTACAATGCAAAACCCATTAGACTGTCTGCTAAAAACGAAAAAAATAAAAATACTTAACAAACTGTTGTACATAAATCATATAAACATTTGCATATTATTTAATAATATAATATAATATAATATAATATAATATAATATAATATAATATAATATAATATCCCAGTGTTGGGATATTGTAAAAGTATAAAATAATACATTTAGCAATGCTTTAATTTAGAATGTCCTAGTTACACATGTTCCATGTATTTACTGTAGTAATTACTATTAATCACGCATAATTACATGCACCTAACCCTAAACTTAACCTACATTCAAACCCTAACCCCTTATGTTCTTTAATCGTTCACCTATTTTAACTGGGACTTGATGAATGAACATTTAATATTATATAATTCACTTGTACCTCGTAATTCTTAGATAGTTTTTTAATTTGTAATCAGACGACTCCTCTTCTAACTATGTATTTAAAAAAATTGTATATGTAAATTATTTTATATTGTATATTTATGGGCATCTTCTGTAAATCATTATAAAAAGGGATAACATCATTATTTGCATACTGTAGATAAAAGACAAAGAATACGTAGTAAACAACATTCAAAGCTGAATTATTGTTTGCATATAACATACTTCTTTCAGTTTTGTTCCAATGTGTTTCTAGTTTTTAGTAATGAACAGTTTTGGGTAAAGTTGTTTTAAAATTAATATATTATGATAAACACATCTACTCTTAAAAATATATGTAAATAAATAACATATAACACATATGTTCACACTACTTTCCTTAAAACATATTTAGTTACTTATTTCAGTGCTGGTGGTTGTCATATTTTACTTTTAAAGATAGGCTAACTTTATAACCAACACTGAAATTGTGCGTTATGTTCTTGTATAACTTTCATATTGTATTGTATTATTATTCATTCATTCACTATCCCTCGCCTTAGTCTCTTATTTATCAGAGGTCGCCACAGCGGAATGGACCGCCTATTAGTTGTCTATTATAGTGCTAGTCCTTGTATGTCATTGCATATATTACATTATCACTGCATAAATACTCAACCTGAGGACAGGTGATGTTGTTTTCTGGCCTGTGTGTGACCCGCTCCATTGAACACACACAGGTACCGGCCAATAAAAGCAGCTTCGATATAAACGACGTCAAATCCATTACGTAACAGTTTCGCTGTCCAACAAGCGTTTAACCGAAACTACTTCACAACAAAATCCTGTAGATTATATATACTTCGTTGTATATCCTTTAACTGGACCAGAACGGACCATTGTTGATCAGTTCGGATACAAAGTCCAAATCTTCAGTCCGGTTATTACTCGAGTCTCGCCGAGCAGGAAGCGCGAAAACCCGCAGCAATGCAGCATAATGTCCCGGTTACCTGAGGAGAGTAAACAGAAAACGACCTTAATATCTACAGATATAAACTCTTCAGCTCTTTAATATATCATTTCAGCTCCTGGTCCAACATGAAAAGTAGATTTGTGTCCGGTAAAGTCACCTGACGTACGCACGAGGCTCAGGTGTGTCTGTGCGAATGACAGATTTCCCGGTTATAACGTGGGTGTTTATGAATCATGTTTGCTGGAATGCCTACTTTCATTTTATGTATGTAAACACGCCACTTGAAGGATAAGTCAGACAAATAGGATCATTTAAACACTATTTACTTACCCTCAGGTGCTTTCACACCTTTTTGTTTTGTTCTTTTTATAAGGTAGCTGAAATAGTGGCCAACATTATAGGAAAAACAAATGGAAGTCAATGGTTACAGGTTTCCAGCTTTCTTCGTAATATCTTTAGAGGGAAAACGTCAGAAAGATTTGGAACAAGTAGAGGGTGAATAGGTAATGACAGATTTATCTAGTTATTAAATTTGGTCTGGTGGAAAACTAATTAGTATTCATTTTAAAAGGCACGCCTCAAGTTTTTACATCATTTTATTTTTGTTTTCTTCTGGTTTGAGATTCCGGTTTGTAACTTTGAGGTTAAAAATTGCTGGCATAATTTTAAATTTGATGTAATCTATCCCTTCGTAATTTAGCACAATCATACTCAAACTCACTTTTCAAGCCGAACATTTGACAAAAAATGTTCAAATTACTCTTTACATGTGCATCTACATATTGAACTTTAGGAACTCTTACTTCATCCATTGAAAAATAAAAGCAAGAAAAATCACTTGCTAAAATTCATTCAATTTCTTTCCTTCAGCCTAGTCCATTATTTATGAGGGGTCACCACAGCGCAATGAACCACCAACTACTCAGGCATATGTGTTAGGCAGTGGATGCCCTTCCAACCACAACCCAGTACTGGGAAACACTTGCTAAAATTGCTAAGCTGATAAAAAAATAACAATCACAAATTCACAATAAAATACACAAGAATAGATGACTCTACCTATAATAAAATAAAAAAATGTAGGCTACTTACTGCATTGAGGTCTTAGAAAGTAGAGAGTATGATGCAGGAGTGTGTGTAAATGCTCATATGACTTCACATATGCCAGACAATCTTTAAATGAGAAACAAATTTTGAGTATGCATGAGAGACTCACCCCTCCCATCTGAGAATCAAAACACACACACACAAACACACACACACACAAACACACAAATGCAAATGACCTCTGTTGAAAACCTCAAAATAATGCTTGCTCTTAATTACCTGGGCTGCTATATGATATTGGTCATTTGCAGCTTCGTAAAACTGTAACCACTGCCAGGTGCAAAGTCCTGTTCTCGGTAACCGAGTGGATTTGTTTAGCGGTTCTTTATTTCTTGTATCATGGCAACTGATTTTAATAATACACCTGGATTTAAGAGTCAATTAATAACAGACAGTAACCACCCAAACAGGGAGTAATGCAACGAGTCCCTCCTGAGGATTTATTCAGAGATAATAAAGATAATCCCCATGACTAGTTGTTACAACACTAGAAATGTGCTGAAATTTAATAATTCAATATTTATTGTGATCAAAGATACTTTGAAATACAGTGAATACTGATCATTTAGACATTTCTTTTTTAATATTATTTATATATCATTTGTGGCACCAAGATTTTATGGGATATTTATTTTCTAAAAACATTTTCACACTAATCTGATCCTTCACTCAAATTATATATGCTGCTTGACCTAACTGGATTCTGGAGTCAGATCTGAGTTACAGTAGTTATGTCAAAGCAGTCAATAAATCAGCATGCTATCATTTCAAAACCATTGTAAGAATTAGATGCTTTGTTTCTATTGAGGATTTAGAGAAACTTTTTCATGCTTTTATCACCAGCAGGTTGGATTACTTCCCAAAAAGACAGTCAGACAATTTTTTCCAGAACGTTGCTGCCAGGATTCTGACCAGAACTAGAAAATCAGAGCACATCACACCTGTCCTCAGGTCTTTACACTGGCTCCCAATTACATTCAGAATAGTTGTTACTTGACTATAAATCACTAAATGACCTACTGTAGGACCTCAATACATTACAGATATGCTCACTGAATACAAACCTAACAGATCACTCAGATCTTTAGGATCAAGTAAACTAGAAATTCCAAGAGTTCAGTCAAAGCAGGGAGAATCGGCTTTCAGCTACGTCCCCCGTTGCTTTAATCAGCTTCCAGAAATGATCAGATGTGCTCCAACATTAGGCACATTCAAATCAAAACTGAATACAAATCTGTTTAGCTGTGCATCCATCCTTTTCATTCCTTTAAAACTAGTTCTTAACATATTTCAATCTGTTTTAATCATTTTTATTCTCTGTTGTTTGTATTTTCTTATACTTAATTCTTTTATTCCTGTTTGTATAAAGCACTTTGAATTATTTTATGAAATTATGTATGAAATATGCTGTATAAATAAACTTGCCTTGCATTACTTATAGTAAATGAGGTTGAAACAACACAGTTTTTTAGTTGTTTTAGGATAACTTCATTGTTTCATGTTGAATTTACTTAAATTTGTATAATCGATTAAGTTAACAAACTAAGTTCATCAAATTTAAAATACCGAATTTAAAATATAACCTCATGAAATGCTTGGCTTTAAAGTCATATTTTTTCTAGGACGTTACATTAATGTTTTCCCGTGTTTGTATGTGGAAAACTCATATTGAAATCAATACAATTTTTTTCCTCATGACTTCATAATGCATAACATTTTATATTTTTTAACAAGTAACTTCTCCTTTTACCACAGTAAAGCACAGAGTGTCTTCTTTCCAATATACATAATGTGTGTTTGTAGCTTACTGGAGTCAGGAATTGTTTTAATTTAAAGTTAGCTAGATGTAAATCCCCAAAATTAAGTGCTGGCTAACAGGTTAATCGATTTGTGTTGAGACAACATGGAGGTAAGTTAACATTAGTTTTCCCACTGTAAAAATAATCTGTAATTTTACAGTTTATTTGCGGCAGCTGGGGTGCCAGAAAAAAAAAACTTAAAATAACGGCCATTGAATTACAGAAATATACCATAAAATAACGGATATTACAGTTTTTCTCGATTGCTTGGATGCAGTTGTCAACTGAAACTCCACATTTTCAAAACAGTTAACACACAGGCCTAAACTGCGGCACTCATGGTCAAAATGACACATTTTGCTTGCAAAAGGCACATACCGTGTCAAAACATTTAACATATGCAACAAAAGCTAGTTTTACCTTCAAACAACACAACTTGCAAACAAGTATATGAGCTCTTTCAATTAATCATTACACAATGCACAACAAAATACAAAATACAGAACTCAAAATGCACCACCATTGCTTGCCATTGTAGCTTATAGCCAATGGCATTTGTTGTCTCTATTTGGGCTGTCAAATTCGCCTTTTTGCAAAGAATTGGATCAAGAATAAGATGTGCTTTGATTGAATATATATTGAATTCATGACATTTTTCAAACTGTGGCTGAAAACCGAAATACTGTATATAAAAAAAAACAGACAAAAGTAATAAAATACTGTAAATATTAGAGAAAACACATGTAAACCATATACAGTCAAAACTATTGGGAGTATAGGACATAGCCATACTGACCTCCTCCATCAATGCTGGCACAGAACAACACAGACCTTCCATCGTTTATATAAGGTTTGCAGAATGATGGCTAATTGAAGGTTTGTGTGAGTGTCAAACCGGTGCTTCAGTGATTTCATACTGATGTTGGTAGTTTTTAATAGTTAGGAATAGATGGATTCTGTTTGGTTACCAAAACTAAAACAATGGAGTTTGGACTGCTTGAATGATATCTGTGTTAACTGTTTGGAAAAATGGTGGGGAAAATGTGTCAACCCAATGAGAAAGGGTTTACACATTTGCAAGACCGGTCCCCTGCTCTGCTGGGATAGTGATGAGGAAAATGAAGAGGAACCTAGTTTCTTTAACCAGGTCAAAGCAAACTAGAAAAACTGTAAATTACAAAAATGTCCTTAAAATAAAATTTCTGGTAAATTTTAGCAATTTTTTGTAAACTTATATTAAAACATATATGTTTATATAGTTTTTTTTCCGTGTGGGAGTGTACATCAGAACATTCATCCAGAGTACATTGTTATATTGACAACATGACTAAGTGATTTGTCTAAGTGAGTCTTATCCACACAATGACACAAGGACTTGTCATTCTGATGGCACTGATACGTTCATTGACACAGAAATTTAGTTTTGGAAGATGAACTTAGAATTTAGAGCAAGAGGTTTTGCAGGTAATCATGGTGTTTTGCTATTTGTATGCAGTGTTTTAACAAATGCACTTACTGTTTTGCAAATTTTAATTCTGATCTGAGAAATGTACAAAAGTGACTGAGAAAAACTGTAATACAGTCATCTAGTCACAAGAAAAGCATGCAAATGGTGACTTGACAGCATGCCTGTTGTTAAAATAAGTCATTTATACCTGGACAAAAATGGTGGAATCATAGTCATCGTCATAATAAAGCAATTTATATGAAATTTGTACTGTCAGAAATGTTCTTTAGCAGGTCATAACATTATAAACTCCTGCTTTATAGACGTATCACTTATCTGCACTGTAAAAATGCTGGGTTCCCTTGTCCCAACACAAATCTTAATTGTTTGTACAAATTTAAGTGCATTGAACATAAATCAATGAAGTTCTCCTGCCCAAAAGCTCAAGAATTGAGTCGATTAAGCTTATTTTAAATAAGTACATTGAACAAGTTCCTATTGAAATCAATTATAAGATTTATTTCCAATCAACCTGACTGCACTTGGTGACTTAACAAAAACATAGCGTTCATTCTGTGTGCTTGTTCTAGAAATCTCTCATGGCTAAAGGAGTTTTTCTTGAACACAGCCCAAAAAACAAAATCTGACTAGACTTGTTGGTTTGCATTCTCTTACTACTTTAAACTCTGGCCCAGGTAAAAAGTAGCATTTCCTTGACACGCTCTGCCACATTCACTACATGCTTTTATCTCCTTTTTCTCAAAGAGGTCGTTTGATTATTACAAAAAAAAAAAAACAACAACAACAATGGTGCCTTATAGAGACTACAATACATGTTTATTTGCTCTTGTGTAAATTTGCTCTCTTGTGTAATTAAATAGCAACTGAATACATTTAGCAATGCTGCTTTCTGTTTGCTCTCTATAATGTATAAGCAGTTTCCTTTCTCTTTTACAATATTTGTTTATAAAGTTGCCATAACTACATCTAAACTCTTAGAGGACACAATTACATGACATTGCATTGTAGCTAAGTGATTTTGATTCAACTCAAACCTATAAGTTTATTTATTTATTTATGTATTTATTTGTTTGTTTTATTAATAAAATAAATCTTATTTAAAAAAGATCACTGATAGACTGATATATACTTTTTAATTTTATTTTTGCTTTAGTCAGAGAGGCTTTACCTTCAGTGCATAGGCTGTCACAAAGCGCCCTCTGTTGGTATTTTTACATCACACACGTCAATGTTAAGAACTTGAACCTGAACATTCAAATATGATCTAAAAAAACGTCAAATTTTAACAGAACTGTTTATTAAACCTCTGAGATTTTAAGGTTTTTTTTATGTTTCATTCATCTGGCTTTGGTGCGTCCGGTTTTTATTGCTCGTATGGTTTAGGAGAACATGGATGTCTTCAATTTTTCCAAAAGTATCCAATCAGTTATCCCTTGTGGGGGCAAAATATCCAATACAATGATGACTGACAAATAAAATTATTAATATTACAATAATTAACGGCTGGCGCAGTGGGTAGCACGATTGCTTCACAGCAAGAAGGTCGCTGGTTCGAGCCTCGGCTGGGTCAGTTCGCATGGGTTTCCTCCGGCTCCGGGTACTCCGGTTTCCTGGTGAAATTAGTAAGCTAAATTGTCCATGGTGAATAAGTGTGTTTGGAAGTTTCCGGGTGATGGGTTGCAGCTGGAAGGGCATCTGCTGCGTAAAACGTATGTTGGATAAGTTGGCAGTTCATTTTGCTGTGGCGACCCCAAATTAGTAAAGGGACTAAGCCGAAAAGAAAATGAATGATGTACATTTATAAATAAAAAAC